ACATCTGGTTGCACGAACTGATTTCCCGTTAATGATTTTTTTTAAAGAGGTTAGTGATGGGTACACACTTCTATTAATAACCTCAAACCGTTACAGTGTGTACAGATAATGCTCTTTGTAGTGATACCGAAGGGAAGCCACATTTTATTACTATCCGAAGGAATCACTATCTAGAGCTGTACAAGGCAGCCGTCGACTTTATGGCTACACTGCTGACTGCAAGGTCGATTATAGTGGATGACCATACTCTTTCTTCATACGGGTCTGCCGCATCAAGCAATTAGAGGTTTCAGACTCTGCAGAGCGCGTTCCGAGGGAAGTTGGATCGCCAGCGGGGCCAAACCAAGCAAATAGAGAGCTGTAGTTTCCGGGGCTATTTGACGTTACGCAGCTAGGGTTATGAAGTGTTGCTCCAAAAATAAAACTCCTTGGAGTAACAGACCACCTCATAACTGCACTGGAGTTAAGTTTTGGGAGCATCCAAAAATATCCGAAAGGAAATCCATGATTAGCTTATCCGATATTCCTAACTCCACTACAGTTCTCTAGTGCGTTAGACTACTTCGGATGTAGATTTACCAAACGCGCAGTATCAATGATTAACTACCTCAGGATAGTAGTAGTCGACAATTATTTATCACTAAGTACAATCTGGAGGTAGATGTAATTTTGACTTGGGCTTCTAAGCTGACGGTCAGCCGGATACCTCTCAAACCTCCTTAACTAGAGGGAAGCACTATTTGGGATATCACTCCAAAGAGGATTGTCTGTACTGTACGTTATGGTTGTCGTTGTTACTGGCGGGAAAATGACTAAAAACGGTGCAATTTCGTATACTACATGCTGGAGTCCTTATGCTGTGTGTGTGTGTGTGTTTTTTTTTTTTTACAGATTCTGGTACACCGATCGAGTCAGTTGCAAAAAGGAAGGACTTCGTGGTCGAGACGGACCATCCGACCATCGCAGATTAAGCTCACGGGCATCTTCGACATCTCAGAGTATCCCAACGTTTCCTCCTGGATGACGATCATGAAGAAACCACTGCACAACGATGAGACACACGCCAGCTTTTCTGGCAGCAGACCAAGACGCGTTTCTATCATGTATCGTAAAAGTGCATCTAGAGAGGAATTTAGAGAATCTCTCTCCTCCTGACCACTCCGTTCAACTTTTCCATCTACAGGAAGCGCTCCAGCAAATTTTCAGGATCTGTCGTTGCTTTTAGATATAACCATCGATGCAAGAAGCATTTTCTCTTCTCCATGCTTAGTATGAGTGTTACATGTGCATGTATCATCGCGAGTTATTTCGAGTGCATTAAATGCCGCTTTCGCGAGGAGCAGCCCAAGGTGATGCCACCAGGTGCAGTGGGTAAGGGTGAGTTTGCACACTATAATGGCAGACTCTAGTAACAATACGCCTCGTTGCTCTGGAAGGTAGTGCGATGTGACGTGTCGTGAAAGGACTGCGTAGTGGAGTTGGCAAATGTCTGCAGGCTTCTGCTTTATCACGTTTCAGAAGAAAAAAAATAGTCGCGAGGAAGGACCATCAGCCTCTGTGTGTGTACCAGCGATCGGTAGCATGGACTGCATTTATCGCACTCGAATTACAATGAAATATCAATGTCAGGCTTTCAAGTTGTGACCTTGTCCGATTTAACAGCTTTATTTACCTTGAAGTTCACCTGATAATTCGGATTCTACAGCTTGCTTCGATTACTTTGAACAAGCTTGTATGTATTAATATTTGTTCCCATGACAGTATATTGCTGTTGGCACGCCTGTTTAGGCAATACTTGCACACCGTCAAAATATCCAAACTATTGCTGCACACCGACTGAGTCATTTATAAAAAAAAACACCGGCTTCGTCATTTTCCCGTTACTGGCGCCAAAAAAACGTAATGGATTCTTTATTTTTTTGTTTCCTGTTCGTGAAGGCGATCGATGCGACGAAAAGGATCGATGTGACTAAGGTGACGAGCACGCGGTCTATTCCGCGTCGTCGGCGCGATGAAACTCCTTTCTGGTACGTCGGCATTAGCTATTGAGTCTCATTCATTGAGTCAGGCCCGATGCCACGATCGGTGTACGAAGAACGCGCTCTTGATTGAATTTGGTCAGCGGTCAGAGCTGCGTCTTTGATACAGAGAGAGCACTTCATGTAGCACCAAAAGAAACGTCATACGTTCTGCACTTTAAGCTTCGATAACCGTCCATTAAAAGATGTGCTCCGAGAAATTGGAGTTTTGGAATGATCTCACGACGGTGGACCCCAGAGCTTGAGAGATTAATAAATGAGACGGCCATTCACAGATTAATTTGCGCTCAACGATGCAGACCGAGATGGTAGTTCTTGAAGAAAGCCGGTCGTCGTCCAGGGGTGAGATTTTACTGCCCTCGCTTTGGTCCATTGAATGGTTCCAGCAATTATGGACTCGTGCTTGGCTCGGGTGGGCTTTCGTTTACGCATCGGTGCTGTTGTTTTGCTTCGTTTCTCGCTGTGTGGCGCTCACTGCGCTGATCAAGATGTACGGGACTGGCAAGGACTGCACGTTTTCCGCGAAGACCGCGGCGCTTTGCGTCGGTATCTTGGAAGATTTCGTCTGCGCTACATATTTCGCTTGTGTGATTTGGCTTATTGACATTTTGTTGCAAAAGTTTGCTCGGTATGTTGATAGTATTGAAGCTTCAACAAGCAACAAGCTGAAAAGTATCATGTTGAAGATCTTTGTCTTCGCAAGCTCTTGGATGTTATTCGTAGCTGCAGTTGGACCCGTAGCTGCTGATTTACTTCTCGTGCGTCTAAGGGAAGTTCGCTTCACGTTTCAAGTGATTTCGAGCGACGAGAACTCGGTTATTGATGGAATGACCAGCAAAGAGATGAAGGACGTGTGCATGACAGTGACGACTACTGCTATTGTAGCAGCTCTCTTTGCTATTCTGCGTACGTTTACATCCTGGCCGAAGCTCTCCCGGTGGAATCCGATCCATGCTATCGTTACCTTAGTGAACAGGAGAAAAGAACAGCGATTCCAATCAGTGTCGACAAAATCTAGCAGCGGAGGTGCAGAATATGATGATAACGAGGAAATCATGCTGGAGCTCGATGAATCCGGTAAAAACTCTGGTATCAGCACGCCTAGCAATCTGAGCTTCTGTGCTTTGGCAACGGATGCTCCGTACCCAAGTTCCAAGCACCAAGAAAGCAAGGATGTGCTATATCGGCGTGGTATTCAGATTTCTGTTGTTTTCGTCGCCCTAATTCTGATACCCTTCCTAGTAATCGCTATAGTTAGCGCATGCTCGTCGATCGTCGCTAAATCCGCTCTAAACGCAACTCTAAATGAGCTTTTTGGTCACGCTCTGGGTGATACTTCCCAGAGCTTATCGATTGAGACTGACGGAAGCACTGCATGGGTGGAGACGTATATTCACTCAACTACCGAAAACTACACGCTCTTCCACGACGACTCGCTCTACCGACGAACTACCGGCTTTAAGGGGGAGCTAGCTTTCGATGTCGATGTCACCGCCGATAACCCACCTAACGTTCTCGTCATCGTAGTGGAGTCGTTCCGGTACCACGATTCCCGCTACCTCGTCGGTGATGACGATCCATCCAATCTTTTCAAGGGATCAAATACTACTATAACCCCGAATTTTGACAAATGGGCGAAACGAGGCGTAGCATTCACCAATTTTTGGTCGAGTTGGCGCACAAGCCGCTCAGTGGAGAGCCTTCTGTTCGCACAACTTCCCTACGATGACGTTGAGGACTCTGGGATGACGGGAGGAAAAACGAATGTGGAACTTGCTGGTCTCCCGCAGCTTTTCAAGGCTAAAGGGTACGAACCATTCTTCACTACGGGTTGTCAAACTGAATACGATGACTGGAATTCGTTTCTTCCATCCCATGGATTCGATACCGTTTGGAGTCGCGATGAGATGATGAAAATCGCTGAACATGATTTGAATATTTCGTCTGATGATTGGTACGGTGACGCACACCGAGGTCTTTATTGGGGTGTTCACGACGATTTGAGTTTTCAGATTCTAGGAGATCTACTCATTAATAAGACTCAAGAGCAGAGTGAGCGTGCGGCTCGAGGCGAGGCAAAAAAGCCTCTGTTTCTTACGCACTACACTATATCGAGTCACATCCCGTTCCAAGAGCGACCACAATGGTATGCAGAAGCTGAAAAACCTGACTTTTCTGCACTTTACGACGGTGAGGAATACACCTACCTTGTCAAAGATTACCTCGAGATGCGGTATTTTACGGACATGGAACTTGGGAAATTTATGGATCGTATGGCGGAAGAAGGTATTCTCAACGATACCATCGTTATTATCTCTGGGGATCATGGTCAAGCACCAGAATACGGCTACGACAAACCAGAAGTGCGTGCTTTATCAGCCACTCGAGTTGCCGGAGCTCTTATCGCAGAGGGAAGACTCGGAGAATTCGTTGGATTAAAATTTGACGACGCCGCAGAGCAATACGATATCCTAAATACTCTGGCTGACATTACTGGTATACCAGAGGAAGGATTCCTGCAAGATGGCGTTGGACGTTCACTCAAGCGTAAAGTGGAATTCGGGGAGCGAGTCGTGTTCAGCAACAACCCGAGCCATAAACTGTCGGTTGTACGCGGCAACAAACGTCTGCAGTACGACCGGCATTCGAATGAGGTTTTGCTTCATGACACGCACACAGACCACGACATGAAGAAAGATCAGTTTCCAACTCTGAACAGTGACGAGCAAGATAAATGGTTCACTTGGAGGAAGAATGGTCGCTGGCTGAACTCATATTACACCACCCGATGGGATAACAAGTGCTTGCTAGCAGGTGAATGCAGTGCCTAAGAGTATTTTGTGCTAAGGAGATCAAAATGTACTTTGCGTTGTATGTGAACCTTTGTACACGACAGTACGACTTTCTGCCACTTGTATTAATAAAAGCTATGGTTCCGATATAGTGTAAATCAAGAGCGCCATAGCTTGTTGTCATCTGGATATCCACGCTTTCATCGATGGTGTCGGAAATAATCAATGGATGATTTGGCATCGAAAATCCAGGACAGCTTGGATGTAACAAGCGTTGCAACAAAACGCTACAAAAATGGTCGCCGTTATTCCACGGCTGATACAGATTCATGCGTTTGATGATGGCACAGAGCCTCTGTGACAGAGGGTTATTCCAGCAGCGTCCAATAATCACAGCTATAGTTGCACATGTTAGCCATTGACCTGTCTTGACAGGTGTCAAGCTGTCAAGCATGATGATCAAATTGTTATTTCCGGCTATAGGATTTTTAATTTTAATAGTAGTAATAATGTGTGTGGCATTCACGTACTTGTGTAGTTTCTTGATCACCAGTTGCATACCTATGCTTATAATATCCACGTCTGCGACTCTCCTACCCAACGGTCTTTACTCTACCGTAACGCACCCGAGTCCTCCTTCAGCCCCGTACAGCACATACACGAAGACGCAGCTCCGAAACGTCTCCTTTACGCTGTTCACACTACGTTATTCTAAGCATCGTTAGCATCGTTTAATAATTTCTCGAAAAGGGTGGTGATGCAACACTCGCTGATCCACAATACTCCCAGCCGCTCGGTAAGCGAGCGTAAATCATTGTTTACAGCACGCACGAATGATGGGAGGGAGTTCGCTAAAAACGCAAAACGGCAACAAACTAAATCCCAGCAAAGTATCGGCACGGCAGTTTGTGTTCCCATCAACTACATCTCTTGGACGTACATGTAGTTATGCTCGCTCATAACTTATGAGCGAGCCCTGGATAATGATGAACCCATTGCGTCACGGTGTCCTCCCGTCTCATGATCATGACTGGGACACGCATCCTTCAACGAAGCGAAATAGTCGGCTGTCTGAAATAGGGTGATTACACGTGAACTAGACGCATACAAATATCCAGTTATTTTTATTCCGAACAGCAAACGTACCCACGACCCTCTTCCAAATCCGCCAACAGTCTCTAAATTGCTCCACGTGACGTAGGCCCGATGTCTCGCGCCCCTAATTGTGCCGGATGGGCCTTCGTGTACGGCACGACGCTGCTCTTCTTCAGCGTCTACCGCGTCTTGACACTGCGCAGCCTCATCACCATGTACGGTACTGAAAAGGACGTGACGCTGGACGTGCAAGTGGGCGCTGTGGTGCTCGGCGCACTGCAAGACCTCGTGTGTGCCACATACTTGTCTGCTGCTCTGTGGGGCGTCGACCACTGGCTCAAGCAGCAACCGACTGAAGCTGAAGACGAAGACGAAGGCGTCCAGAAACCACGAGACCTTCGACTGCGCAGAGCGCGGCAAAAAGCGAGCGTCGTGAGGTTCGCAGCGTCTTTCCTGCTATTTGCACTCATGTCGGTGCCCTTTGTGGCCGATTTACTGCTCGTACGCATCCGAGACATGAGATTCAACTTCGATTTAGTGAAGATGGCCATCCACGAGTCGAATAACGCCAGTGCCGCGGAGATTTCGAGTGCTGAGATCAGTCAAGCTTATATCAGTGCAGCTATGGCCGTCGCTACTGCTACCGTCTTCGCTGTAGTCAGAGCTCGCAACAACTGGGCTGATTTAACCAGGTGGAGTCCTACAAAGCAGGTTATTCAGGTAGTTGCTAGGAGACTCAAGAGAGTTGAGAAACTGGAGGAGGAAGAAACGACGGGATTTTTGGGTAAAAATGTGCTTAGTGAGAAGCCCGACGAGGTCTCAGTGACTATACTGGACGACAAGACCGAGGAAAAAGGCGTAAAGTGGTGTGGAGGACGTGTGAGAGCTATTGTGGTCGTGGTGGCTCTGGTATTGCTGCCTGCTGTGGTGCTGGCGTTGAGTCAGGCGTGCTCGGCGTTGGTGGCGTACGCGGCACTGAACGCGACGTTGAATGAGCTCTTCATGCACGCGCTATTTGTCTCGTCACAGGGTTTTTTGCCTTTAGTAGCAAACGGTAGTATATTAGCTGAGACGTACATCCATACTGATACCGAGGACTATGAACTGTTTCAAGAGGACTCGCTGTATCGACGCACTACCGGATTCCATGGAGATCTCGCATTCGACGTCAAAGTGGAGAACGAAAACCCGCCGAACGTGTTACTTGTAGTGGTGGAATCGTTTCGCTTCCATGATTCCCACTACCTGGTTGGAGACGAAGACCCGTCAAACCTGTTCAGAGGCAGCAATATCACAGTCACGCCCAATTTTGACAAGTGGGCCAAGCGTGGCGTAGCGTTCAGTAACATGTGGTCCAGTTGGAGAACTAGCCGATCTGTGGAGAGTTTACTGCTCGCGCAGGTTCCTTACGACAGCGTGGCGGATTCCGGGATGACGGGAGGCAAGAAAAATTACCAACTGGATGGATTACCGCAGTTCTTTAAGGCTAAAGGTTACGAGCCCTTCTTCACGACTGGCTGTAAGACTGACTATGACGACTGGGACACGTTTTTGCCTTCCCATGGCTACGATACTGTGTGGGGACGGGATGAAATGATCAAGTTAGCGGAGAGTGATCTAGGAATCACACCCGATCAGTGGTTTGGTAAGGAACATCGCGAACTCTACTGGGGTGTACACGACGATATCAGCTACCAGATTCTAGGCGATCTCATGGTCAACAAGACCAAGGAACAAAGTGATCGTATGGCTAAAGGAGAAGCGAAAAAGCCGCTTTTTCTAACGCATTACACGATTTCGAGTCACGTATCGTACGAGGAACGCCCCACGTGGTACGCTGAAGCAGAGAAACCGGACTTTTCGCCGCTCTATGACGGCGTAGAGTACGCAGGCAGCATCAAGAATTACGTGGAGATGCGTTATTTCTCGGACATGGAGTTTGGCAAGTTTATGGACCGGATGTCTGCTGCAGGGATCCTCAACGACACCATCGTTGTTGTCGTGGGGGACCACGGACAAGCTCCAGAAGCTGGGAACTACATCCCGGAGGCACGAGATGTGTCTGTTCATCATGTTGCGGGCGCGTTGGTAGCTGAAGGGCGACTGGGAGACGCCGTGGGACTGAAGATTGAGGACGCGACCGAGCAATACGACATCCTAAACACTCTCGCTGATATTGTAGGTGTTCCGGAAGAGGGATTTTTGCAAGATGGAGTGGGTCGCTCCCTTAAGCGTCAAGTAAAGTTTGGAGACAGAGTGGTGTACAGCAACAATCCCAGTCGGAAGATGTCAATTATTCGAGGAACGGAGCGTCTTCGTTACGACCGTGCAGCGAGATCTGTGCTGTTACATGACGCGAAGGCTGATCATGACATGCACTTGGATCTGTTTCCTGACCTCACACTGGATCAGCAGAACGAGTGGCTAAAGTGGCGAGATCATGGCCGCCAACTTAGCGAATATTACGTCAAGCGGTGGGACAAGAGGTGCTTGTTTGAAGCAAAATGCTAAGACATTAAACTATTGATTTGCCAAGTGCAGCCCAGACGTATAATGCACCGGTACCATTAACCTTTTCAGCACAGCAGACACTTGTCCTCCCAGCGTTTCTTATAATACGCAGTGACTGCCCGTCCCTTATCGCGCCAGTATCGCCAGTCGTTCTTCTTTTCGGTTGAGAGAGCAGGGAACAAGTCGGTTTTCATGTCGTGATCGGTCAAAGAATTGTGGAGAAGTACAGAGTCCGTGCTTCGATCATAACGCAGACGTTCATGACCGCGAACGACCGAGTTTTTGACTGCCGGGTTGTTGCTGTACACTACGCGTCCCCCAAAGGTGACATTGCGTTTGAGAGACCGACCAATACCGTCTTGCTCGAATCCGTCTACTGGTACACCCGTGATATCTGCTAGAGTGTTGAGCATGTCGTACTGCTCAGCAGCGTCTTCGATCTTGAGTCCAACGTAGTCACCGAGTCTTCCTTCAGCGATGAGAGCACCAGCGACGTGCGTACAGGAAACATCACGTTTCTCTGGGGTGTCATTACCGAATTCCGGGGCTTGGCCATGATCTCCGACAATCAAAATGATGGTGTTGTTGAGTACACCTACAGTCTCCATGCGACCCAAGAATTTCCCGAGTTCCATGTCCGTAAAATACCGCATTTCTAGGTAGTTTTTGACGTTTTCAGCGTGTTTTTCGTTGACGTACAGGGCAGAGAAATTTGGCTTATCTGACTCGGCGTACCATGTAGGGCGAGCTTCATACTCTACGTGACTCGAAATGGTGTAGTGCGTGAGGAAAAGCGGCCTGCTCTCTACGGTTCGTTCTTGTGTCTTGTTGATGAGTAAATTACCCAAAATTTCAAAACTCACGTCGTCGTGCACTCCCCAGCGAAACTTTCGATGAGCTCTTCCTTCCCAATCCTCCGACGAAATACCCATATCGCTCTCTCCATACTTCATCATCTCGTCCTGATCCCATAGAGAATCAAAGCCATGAGCAGGAATGAACACGTCCCAGTCATCGTACGAAGTATCCGTCCCAGTCGTGAAAAAGGTCTCGTACCCTTTTTTCTTGAAAAATTGGGGCATCCCAGCGAGTTCGACATCCGCTCTACCTCCAAGCGTATCGGTTGTTTGTGTGGAGTCGTACGGGATCTGTGCGAATAACACACTTGCTAGTGATCGACTGGTCTTCCAACTGGACCAGAGATTGGAGAAGGCCACGCCACGCTTTGCCCATTTATCAAAATTTGGGACGACTGTACCATTCCAGCCTTTGAAAAGCTTAGACGGATCCTCCTCTCCGACCAAGTAGCGCGAGTCGTGGAACCGGAACGATTCCACTACGAGAACGACGACGTTGGGTGGATTAGTGTCGTCTACACTCACGTTGAATGCCAGATCTCCGTTGAATCCGGTGGTTAAGCGGTAGAGTGAATCATTAGCACGGTGCGAGTAGTTTTCGGTTGGGTGGATGTACACGGAGGCGTCCTCGATTGTGCCGTCAGCGACTAAAGGCACAAACCCGATTTCCGTCACTTTCAGCGCTCGTACGAACAATTCGTTGATTGTTGTATCCATTGCGACATTGGCTATGAGTGGGGAAGACGCTTGAGCGACCGCCAAAATGGCTACGGGAAGGAATACTAGCGCTACAAGAGCCACTAGAACCTCGACACTCAGTCGTAGCCAATCTACGCTGTGAAACCACAGCACGATGCGTTCACATAGCGTAGATCGCCCACTGACATCGCTATCTGAACGATCAGAAGCTTCGTTGCTGAGACTGTAGCTGCGATTTGGTGTGGTGGTGTGTACGTATTGAACTAATTTCCCATTCTCCAGTAACATTTCATTCACGTCGTCGTAGCTGTCGCTAGAAGACGAGGAATCGTGTTGTAGTTTCTCTTTGGGTGTCCAGAGTTCGTCGTCCTTTTTGAATCGCAAAGAGATTCTCCTCACGAGGTGTAGGACAGGATATGACGGGTTCCAGCGTGTAAGATCAGCCCATGACGTCCATGTGCGGACTGAAGCGAAGAACGCAGCAATCAAAGTGAGGATTGTGCCGGTGATGTACGCCTCGTTGTACTCGGAGTCAGAGATGGCTACACTACTGACCATGTCGCTCTCTGCGATAGCCATCGACACGATCTCGAAGGTGAAGCGCATACTGCGAAGACGGACCAGCATGGTATCTGCAACGAACGGAGCTGCAGTGGCCACGAACAGCAGCCACGAGGTCACGAACGTCACCACACGACGAATAATGCGTTGTCGCTTCCACTTGATGAACGTCTGGAGCGTCATACTGTCGGAAGAAGCGCCAAGTGTTTGGTTCAAGATGAAGTCGATGAACCACAGGACTGCGACGAGGTACGTGGCACAGATCAAGTCTTCCAGCATACCGAGACCCAATGCACCAAGCTGCACTCCCACCGTGTGATCCTGGTCAGTCCCGTACATCGCGATGAGCGCTGATAGTCCGACACAGCGGTCGATGAAGAAGAAGAACAGAACTGTGACGTAGACGAAAGCCCAGCCGAGCCACCGATGCGACCAGAACGTGGAGTACTGCACAGTCTGCAGCAGTTGGCGAGGCTTGAACCAACGAGACTTAAGGTCGTCACTTGTGTCCATGGCCGAGAACTTGTCTTCTCGCACCGAAGCTTCGATGCTCAGTGCAGCAGACGACACCATTGCAGGAGTCTGCGCTGGAGTCCCGAGAAGAATCGTGGTTGATAAGTGGCGGAAGAGCAGCAAATTGAAGACTGGCGACTGCGTTCTCGGCCTCAAACGGACGCGCGGACAGCAAGAGAAGGTAGATAAATGGAATTACGCTGTATTGCAGCGGATTTCGTGAGCAATGGCAGCCATGGATCGTGTGAATGTTCTTTTTACTGTGCTGTAGCCATTCCAGGATCGAGTCAGAACGGTATCCGGATGCATGTCAGATTATCCGGCCCACTTCAACTGTACCATTATTACGGTACTCATTGTGGACGCCAACGTTGACTCGACCAACGGCCTTTACAAAAACCAATTCTCAGACACACGAGGCCATGCCGAAAAGTGACCACGGGAAATAGCCGTAGCATGACAAATATGGTGAACGGTGAATTTTCCCTATTTTGCCTCTTTTTTTTTAGTAAGGGGTCAAGAATTACTTAACAATGTGAATTTTTCATGTATGGAACTGGGATTATTTTGTTGTTGTTGCATTAATCTACATGGATACTGCAGTGATACATAATGGTGTCATTGGCTGTCATTGGTGGAGATCGTCAGTTCGACTCGAGAAACGCTTGACTACAACGTTGGGTTCACGATGAAGATGCTGGTGAACAGGACCACATGAATTTCACTGTTGTAGATATCACTGTTGTACCGGGGGGTTGATTTGAGCAAGATACTATTCATCAAACGCACGCTACTTTTGAGCGGCGTGAAGTGTAGAGCGGTTAAGAAATCGGTGTTTCACGGTCATGAACGACGGCGGTATGATTGAAGCACGGCTTTTTTTTTTTTTCTTCTTTTTTGACCGGTTCCGGCCTTAACGTTCTTCCTTTTTTTTGCCCAAAACCAAAAAAAAATAAATGATAAGATTGACGAGATAAGGGGTGTCTTACAATAAACTCTGCAAAAACGATTTTAGTCGCACTCGACGACCACATCAAACGGCAGTGACTCGGACTCTTCGAATTGATCTGTTAACGCGTAAATTCAAGAAACAACATCTCAACCATCACCTACATCTCCCACAAGTACTGGGGGATGTTCGCCGCCATATTTTCCATCATGTTGTGATGCTCATCAAGTTTCTCAGTATCTGGCGCAGACTGGAGTTGTGTGCCTATACTGAAAATGACCTAACTCCTTTGGTCGTAACGTTGCTTCTGTCAAATTCCTCCGCCTTCACATCGCCTTGGTTTGAGATTGTGCTGACTTGGTCGGCGTCTGCTGCTGACACCCAAAAAAATTCGTTGCTTGCATGTGATGCTCGTCCCCGCATCGGAAGCTCTGATCAAAGCGAAATTCACTCTATTTGGATGCGCTAACGCGTCAGCCAAGAGACCAACTGCGTCCAAAATGTTCACAATACCGTTCCCGTTAACAGGATGTTTAGGCGTCATCTGGAACAGTATAATGTTGTCACTCACGCTCTTACGGTAGAACGAATCAATAGACTTGTTTGTCGTATTCGCGCTGAATATGATACGGACCCGTTTGTAGCGTGGCCATCGACAAGTCCTTGGAGTCAAAGAAATAAAATTCCGTTCTTTCTTGGATTGTGAAAAATACTTCCATCTTGGGCAATCTTCAGAGACGCATGTGATCTGAATTTCACCACCTCGCCTCGCAGTTTATCTCAAAAATAGATGGTATCAAATTGCTGTCGATCGTCGTGTCATGGCACGTAGTGGAAAATCTTATTGTGCATATCGCTGGAGCTCTCGGATACCGCGGGATACAGCCGCTTCGTTTAACGTGAGACATCCTCAAGCCACGCCACCAAATATATTAAAACCCTCCGGCATCGTCTCTCGGGTTATGGACGTTTTCAGCAAGTCTGCTGCAGCAACCAACTCATCGACAACCCACAACAGCATATACAACGTACATGCGTATTCTTTCTTGGAAACAATCTTAAGCCAATTTTTGTTCGGGCTGGTAAAGCAAACCATCTTGGAAGGCTTTATTGGCGGACCTTTGGTGGTCCATCGTACCAGAACACACTTCATCCACACGCTTCTCGGCTTCATTTTGCATATCGGCAATAAAGTCATATGCTTGTTCGGATGCCATTACAAGCACTTCACCTCGAAATACGACGACTTGCATCAATACCGATGTCTTCGAAAACGAAGCGGTTATGATGGTTGCGTAGGGTTTTGATCTGAAGTGCCTGAAGAAAATATCCGAAAAAGACAGATTTTTCGATGCCTAGGTAGTGCGTGTTCAGAGCAAAGTCAGCTCACGATCTTAGTCCCCTCAAGCAGATAAAATGAACCTACCTGGAGTTCCCGTGACAATAACGATCCAGTACTTTTGTAGCCTCGTCGGAATCAGTTCATTGTACTCTGGGGAAAAAACAGTCACGCACATAGTATTCGACAAATTCGAAGTCGTTCTCCATCGGCAATTCTTCCGGAAATTTTTCTGCCCGCTTCTCAATGGTTGGTGGAGTCGTCGTTTTGCTCGTGGCCATGCCTTCCATATTAAACTCAGTCTTGGCTTCCGTAGGCAGCTTCTTTCAGAAAAGTAAAATATCTCGCAAGGCCCAAACTTTTGCATTTTGTTTCTTGGAAAAATATGTCAACAAAGCAGACCGGGTTTTTGTCCAAAAACTATCTGAAAGGTACTCAAAAATCTGCAACTTTTTATGATCCTTACAGATAGATATTAAGTCGGTTGGATTATTTCAACTGTACCTATCTTTATGGTACACTTGGTGTTCGCCACACAGTCTCCATTATTTCGACCATGGTGCACTGGGGCACGGTGTTCGTGACGGTGACGATGTCGAGCTTCCTGCTCGGGCGGCGAGAACTGCCCAAGATCGGACGCTTTGTGGGAGTGTACAGCGGACGCAGTGTAGGTGCTATCCTCCGAGCCAAGAAGGAGTTCTTTGACGCCACCAAGGACAACGACATCGTCAAGTTACAGCGCGAGTTCCAGCGTGGCATTGAGGAGCTCAACGAGATCCGCTCGGAGCTCACGAGCGTCGGAAGCATGCGCCGTCCTCTGCAGCCCACGAGCGATGCAGTGCCACGTACCGCTCCGCGTGGTACAGCGAACCACTTGGCAGCGGCTGCACCAGGAGCTTCGGAACCAGCGGTGCAAACTTCCACATCGCCGGCAGGAGGACGCTCAAGTGTCTCCCTGGCGTCTGCAAATGAATACGAAATGCAAGACGGAGTACGGCGCAGTGCCGAAGCGAGTCTGGCTATGGCTGAGTTGAAGCTGGCGGAGCAGAACAAATTTGCTCCCAGAGTCGAGAGTCAGGAAGGAGGAGCGGACTATGTGTCCGCTAGCATCATGGACAGCTTGCTGCTGGACGAGCAGAGGGAGAAGACTAACAAAAACTGAAATACTGATGTGAAAATGTGAGCTACAACCTTTTTTTTAGTTGAAGGTGCGAAGTGGATATTATCAAGTACAGTACTAATAATCATAAACAGAAGACTTATGTGCATTTCGTCATGTGTGTGCAATCTACAGGTCTATCCTTCATTTCAGCAACCCGCTGCAAGCAGACATTTGCCTACCCAGCGCTCCGTGTAGTAAGAGTTGACTTGGCGTCCAGCATCTCGCCACTTCGTCCATTCCGATCGCTCGTCAGCTGTGAGCTCTGGTAGCAAGTCTTTCTTCATGTCGTGGTCCTTATCAACATCGTGCAGCATCATCGAATCCGTCACTTTATCATACCGCAGACGCAAATGACCTCGTACAACTGACATCTTCCGGCTGGGGTTGTTACTGTACACGACGCGTTCCCCAAACTTAATTTTACGCTTGAGAGACCGACCAACGCCATCCTGTTCGAAACCACCTTCAGGTACTCCAGTGATGTCCGCCAGTGTGCTGAGGATATCGTATTGCTCCGTGGCATCGTCAATTATCATCCCCGCAGCGTCACCTAGACGTCCTTCAGCAACTATCGCTCCAGCCACACGAGTTGCCGAAACGTCTCGATCGTCGGGCACGTTGTTGCCAAATTCTGGGGCCTGGCCGTGGTCTCCCGAGATAACTACGATGGTGTCGTTCAAGATCCCACTTTGAGCCATCCTGTCCATGAATTTGCCGAACTCCATGTCCGTGAAGTACCGCATTTCGAGGTAGTTTTTGATGTTATTTGCGTACTTTCGACCCCGATACAACGCCGAAAAAGCAGGTTTTTCAGCTTCCTCATACCACTTGGGACGCTCTTTATAGTTGACATGACTTGAAATCGTGTAGTGATTGAGAAACAAGGGCTTCTTTGCTTCTCCTTTTAGCACTCGATCCCGTTGAGCCTTCGTCTTGTTCACCATTAAGTCGCCAAGAAGTTGGAAGCTCAGATCGTCGTGAACCCCCCACTCGAGTGCGCGCTGTGCTGGCCCTTCCCAGTCACTAGAGTTGATCCCTAAATCAGTTTCTGCGAGCTTTTGCATCTTGTCGCGGCTCCACACTGTGTCGAAGCCATGGGCAGGAAGGAAGAAGTCCCAGTTGTCGTAGTCAGTCACACACCCCGTCGTGAAGAACGTCTCGTAACCTTTCGCTTTGAAGAGTTGGGGTAATCCAGATAACTTTGTGCCACGTCGGCCTCCCGTCGTCCCGGATCTGGTCACACTATCGTATGGCAACTGCCCGAACATGAGACTCTCGACGGATCGACTTGTGCGCCAACTGGACCAAAAATTTCGAAGTGCGATGCCTCTTTTGGCCCATTTGTCGAAGTTTGGAGTGATCGTGGTGCTGCTGCCCTTGAACAAATTGGACGGGTCTTCATCACCCACAAGGTAGTGAGAGTCATGATACCGGAACGATTCGACCGCGATAACTAGGACATTGGGTGGGTCTTGGTCGCTAACACTGACGTTGAAGGCGAGGTCTCCTCGAAACCCCGTCGTACGTCGATACAAAGTTCCATTGCCAAAGAGCGTGTGCTCTTCACTGTCGTCGATAAAAGATTCGACCCCGAGGCCATTAGCATCTTCAAAGGCTGAATTGCCACCCATTGTTGGCTCCAAGACGTGGTTGAGCAGCTCGTTTAGCGTCGTGTTTAAAGCCGTGTATGAAATGATAGGAGAACTTGCACGACTGAGTGCCACCACAAACATGGGAAACAAAACCAACCCGATGAGCAACTTTGTACTTCGTATCCAGAACTCGCGGGAGACAGCATTTGGGCTCACACGACTGAGCGTAACCAGCTTATCATCACTGTCATCGATGGTATCAGTCTCTACCACTTCGTCGATTGCAACGATAGAGTACTGCAAAGAATTGGTGACATCTTTATCCATTTTAACCGAGATTTTGTGCATCGGGACCAACTGGGCTTTTTCGTTGGGACTCTCCATGTCTGGAACGCTATCGTTTTCATCGGTTCGACTCTCAGGAGTGCAGTATGTATGCCGTGCTCGTGAATTAACGCAAAGCAGTGGCCTCTGCGTTGCATCCCTGCTCGAGAGGTCAGCCCATGGAGCCCACGTACGCACAGTGGCGAATAGTGTAGCCACAGTCACCAGTGCCGCCACGTTCAAATACGTATCAGTCACCTCTGAGTTCGATACTGCAACGGCCTTTATGTGGTCCTTTTCGTCAATAGCCATCGAAACCAGATCAAACGTGAAGCGCATGTAGCGAAGACGAACAATGACCGCATCCGCTATGAAGGGCACCATCATCGCCACGAAGAGCAGCCACGACATCGTGAAATTCAGAACTTTACTAGCTAGTCTTGCAGCCCTGGAGAGCTGGGTGGTAGAAACCTTTGCAAATGTGTCGAATGGCCACAGAAAGCAGGCGAAATACGTCGCACACACGAAGTCTTCCAGAAACCCGAGAAGCAAAGCTCGAAGCACTACACCGAGTTTAGCATGCTTGGAGGTGCCGTACATTTTGTTCAAACCATACAGTGCTGTGCAGCGGTAAATCGTGAATGCAGTGAGTGCTATACCGTAGACAAATACCCATCCTAGTCTCGAAGAAAGACTTCCAACGAGAGTCGAGTTCGAGATTCTTTGCTTCATCCAACGCGCAATAGTACAGGCCTTCGACTCGACGGGGTTCTTCAGAGACGTGCCTTGTAACGAATCGTCGACGACGGGTACAGAATACGAGAATTTGCGCTTTATATCCGCGGACGCCATTGTTGTGAGTGAATTGAGCACTGCTGGCCGCCGCTGCTGCGCACGCGGATAAAAAGTGAGACTGGTCGCACTCCACGTGGATCAGCTCAAAGGCTGTACAGACTCTGTACTGCGAAGTAAATTACTGTACTACCAGCTGCACATGTACTAGTTAAAAACCTGATAAGAGTACTGTACCCAATCCCTCTAAACATTACATGCACTGTGCAATTGTTTTCCTATTATAGCGGCAGTACTCACCTGCAGGGCTTATTTTATCCATAGTACAGGTTGCAAGAGATATAGTTATTAATGTACATGGACGCTGTGAGCGCCATCTCATTATGTTGAGCCGGATCGCTTGGGCCATCGACTTACTGCGATGATAAAAAGGAAGTTTTGGCACATGTGTGCTGTTCGTATGCGTCGCATATTGATTGGTAGTAATCCTATGCTACGCATCCAAGTGTATTCTTAGTTCAGTGCTGAGAACACAATGCGCCGATATACCCTGGATGAAGCGATGGTTTCTCGATCGCGACACAGTATTTGCTCATATCTCTGGATGGTCTCCATGGCGTCTCCATGACGGCTCTGAGATTCTCAGTGAGAACGATAAATATCGTAGAATTGTAGTAGCGAATTCTGTACAGAGATGGGTTGACTGCCTGGCTCAATTTGCTGACGCCACGTACCGCAAGCGGCGGAGAGCGCTCACTTCTCATCTGTCGTTGACAATGAAGGCACCAAAGCAAGGAATCAGTCCATGGAAAGGATGGGCCTTCGTCTACGCTGTTGTGCTCTTCACCTTTTCCATCTATCGTTTTACAGCTCTGAGCTCTCTAATCAAGATATACGGAAGTGCTGAAGAGGGTACAGCTATCGTCGTGTTTGGGATATTGGCCCTTGGATTCTTGGAGGATTTCGTCTGTGCGACGTATTTTGCGTCTATTCTGTGGCTATTTGACACATTCCTAAAGCCTCGCGTCCTCAAATTCTACAGCAATGCAGTCGTTGCGCGAGCTAGTGTCAAGATCTTGACATTTCTGGTGTCATGGCTACTTTTTGTAGCCATGATGATCCCTTTTGTCGCTGACGTGGTCATCGTTCGTCTACGGGAGATGCGCTTCTCGTTCGACCTTGTCACGATGGTGATCGAAGAGAAGGACCACGCAAACGCTGTTGCAGTGTCCAATTCACAGATCATTGACGTAAGTCTGAACGTGGTTGCTCTCGTTATCATGGCTACATTTTTTGCCGTTGTACGAACTTGGATGGTGTGGGCTACTCTCTCAAGTTGGAATCCAACGCAATTGAAGTTATTTAACACTAACAAACACGGACTGCACGAGTATAATGCTTTAGACGCAGCTGATCACCCGATGGTACATGATCTTGATAGTCCTTGTGTCGATGCAGAGCCTGAATCAATGGAAAACTTGTCGAGGCGTTCAAAATTTAACGAAGAAAGACGCTCTGGCAACGATTCCAAGTACGTGGCGTTGGCGATTAAAGAAGACGCGGAGATTTTGGAGACTGCAGTGATGAAGCCGATGAAATTTACCGACAAAAGAACATCCATTTGCAGCAGAAAAATGTACAATTTCGGCCAGTATTTCAAGACTATTAGTGCTCTCGTTAGCGGACTGGTATTATTTCCCGGTCTTGTGGTTGTGTTGAGTTGTGCGAGCTCACCTCTCGTCGCGTACTCGGCGTTGAATACGACTCTAAATGAGTTATTCAACCATGTTCTACTGCCCAGTGCAAGTGACAGCATCACTGGAGGTGCTTGGTTTGAATCATTTATTGACAAAAGTGAAAAACACACAATGTTTGGGAATAATACGTTGTACCGACGCACTACTGGCTTCACTGGAGACCTCGCCTTCGACGTCCAAGTCAACGAGCAAGACCCACCAAATGTTCTCGTTATTGTGGTCGAGGCGTTCCGACACCATGATTCCCACTATCTCGTAGGTGACGAGGACCCGTCTAACTTATTCAAAGGCAGCAACATCACCATCACTCCGCATTTCGACAAATGGGCCAAGCGTGGCATCGCACTGCGCAATTTCTGGTCCAGTTGGCGTACCAGTCGCTCGTTAGAGAGTCTCATGTTTGGTCAGATCCCGTTCGATAGTGCGATCAAGTCTGGCACCACTAAAGGCCAGCTACAGACCGAATTGTCTGGCTTACCACAGCTCTTCAAGGCTAAAGGGTACGAGACTTTCTTCACTACTGGCTGCTTGACAAACTATGATGGGTGGGATTTGTTCCTCCCAGCTCATGGATTCGATACAGTTTGGAGTCGAAATGAGATGAAAGAACTCGCTGAAAGTACACTCGGTATTAACCACAGTGATTGGGATGGGCCTGAACATCGAGGACTTAACTGGGGAGTGCACGACGATTTAAGTTTCCAACTTTTGGGCGATTTGATGGTAAATAAGACAGAAGAACAGAAGAATCGGGTGTCAAATGGAGAACCCAAGCAGCCGCTCTTCCTCAACCACTATACGATCTCCAGTCACGTTGACTTTAAGCAGCGTCCGAAATGGTACGACGAAGCCGAGAAACCCGATTTTTCGGCACTTTATGAGGGTGAAGAATACGCCGACAATATCAAGAATTACCTCGAAATGCGCTACTTTGCTGACTTAGAAATGGGTAAATTTCTAGATCGAATGGATAAAGCTGGTATCTTGAACAATACTATCATCGTTATCGCGGGAGATCATGGTCAGGGGCCAGAATTTGGCAATGATATTCCGGAAGATCGAGACGTATCTGCGACGCGTGTGGCTGGCGCTATTATCGCTGAGAACCGACTGGGTGACGCAGCGGGGTTGGTCATTGACGATGCAACGGAACAATACGATATTCTAAACACTCTAGCAGATATCACTGGAGTGCCTAAAGGTGGTTTTGAGCAAGACGGCGTTGGTCGGTCATTGAAGCGAAAGATCGAATTTGGGGAACGAGTTGTCTACAGCAACAATCCAACCCGAAAAATGTCGGTAGTTCGTGGACATCTGCGTCTTCGCTACGAACGAATGACCAAGTACGTTTTGCTGCATGACGCTGACAAAGATCACGACATGAAACACGATTTGTTACCGAATGTTACAGCAGCAGAACGTGAGGAGTGGATGAGTTTACGAGACAAAGGACGTCGCATTAATTCATACTATAGAAAGCGGTGGAGACGAAGATGCTTGCTCGCTGCAGAATGCTAACAAAGAGAAAAGAAAACATTCTTGAGCTGAAAATACAATTTTTAGCGTCTTTAAATAAATGCAGATTTTCTACCCCACAAACCTCCCTACCTTTGATTGCTTCAGACTACTTTACCACGACTCGATGGCTCTTACGTCTGTAAAATGATCCATCCGGTGCCCGCGGACATCCCTGACGCCGCTCGGAGCACGATTTCAACAAGAAGCTCTTCCTATTTCAATCGTTGGTTTCTCAAGTTGTCACGATGGTGGCCGGCTATTAACATGAGTTATCGTGGCGGTCAATACTCAATCGAGCGAGCTCTTGCACTGGACGAGTACACACAAACACACTCTCGACTACACGCCATACTCGTGTGTGTTACGCTTTTCCTGCCTGCCGAATGTCTCATTATAGCCCAAGAAGCTGTACCGCTTGAAGATCCTGCACTAGGATGGCGAGAGAATTTCGGATTCTGGGTCCGTGCTGCGATGGTGATCGGAGCTGTGCTTTATACGGCCACTATTCAAGCCAAATATCTCCTCCAAGACTTCGTTATATCCTATCGTCAACTTCTGGTTCTGTTAATTTGTGTGGTGGTCGTGCAGATGATTGTGGCGGTAACATTTGCGGCGAATGTTTGGTTCCCGATCCCGTTCACTGTAATTACACTGGTGCCAGCCTTTTACGTCGTATCATTCACTTCAATTTGTGTGGTGTTAGGGATCCCTGTCATGCGAAAGGTATTACGACACAAAAAGCGACTTTTTCGCTTTGGATGTTTCATCGCAGCACAACAGTTCATGGCTGTCATCTACCCAGCGTATCAAGTTTTATTCCACGCTGTGAACTCTGCCAGTTATCAACTGCCAGTGATCTTGCTACTTCCTGTTATTAAACTGATTGTGAAGAACATTGCGCTGCGTTGTGTAACTCACATGGAGGACATGATGCCCGAGGCTGTGATTTTTACTGTTGATTTTTTCAATGCATTGTACATGGCTACAAGCATGGAGAGTGCGACGTCAACGTCGACAGTTGTAGTTATTGTACTAATCGACATTATCCAGCCGGCTACTGTATTATTCCGATTACATCGACGAACATCTACTATTTCATCGAGATTGAAGGAAGCGGTGGGAAATTTCGACAAAGACGTATCTTTCTTAACTGATGCTTGTCAGATTCTTAGGTGCGGGGACAAGTTTGAAAGACAAAACAGACAGAAAATAACAATTCGCTCGTGTCTCCGACACAGCCTCTCATCAGACAAGCGGGAACTTCTTAACCGGCTGGAGATAATTCCTCGAATCAATAGCTTACAGATGCGGAGGCGGTCTGCTCCGCATAATAAACCAGTTGAGGCTAAGAAAGACGCTGACTTTGAAAAGTACCGCAAGTTCAGCAAAGGGGCCACGTGGGTTGAACGTCGTGAAAGCAGAAATGGCCCTTCAAAAGAATCTGAATTGCGACCCAGCATACTGAACGAAAACGTTGTGGTGAAGCAAGACAGAGGAATCCTCCGAGAGTCTCTCGAAGCCATGTTCACTGTGGAGTGCATTCTGTTGAGTGCATTTCTGGACGCTTCTGTTCCACTTTTCTACGGGATTTTCATGTACGTGATGGTGAATTTCCAGAGTGCCAAATATCATTCCGAACTAGCTGGAGTTACGACCGAGACGATCGGTGACGTGGTCGATTCCATTTTTGTGTTCGCGATCGTGGAGCTCATTGCATTGGCTCTGCTCGCAATGGTGATCTATCGAAATTTAGGGATGAATGCTACGTATCATCTGGCGTTCGTGTTTGAAACACAGACTGAACTAATTCAGAGCAAGCTGCTTGGATGGGTGACGATGACGCTCGCATTTCGTGTAGTGCATTTCGGTACGTTTTCCGAGGATCTTAGTGATCAGTGTAGCTATCTAACCTGTGCCGTGCAGGCGTCGACTTTACCTTCAAGTTCGCATGGCTATCAAATTTAAACGTGTAAATAGTCCATTTTTTTTCGATTAAGCGCCGCCATAATCTACATTGTGGATCGTGGTGACGGTATCAAGGCACCAACTCGCGCTGATGAACCGTTGGTACTGCATTTTGCTTGAGCTCTTTCACATACTCAGTGTACTTCGAGTAGTATTTCTTGCTGGTCTCGGATTATCTCTCCAGACCCAACGCCATCCTGACGTACTCATCGGGTCTCTTATGTTCGGCCCAAAGCCACAATTTCACTGACATTTCCTTTTCCGAGTTGCCGACCATCTGCGGGTGATCATAAGCCCTCCAATTCCGATATGCGTCGTCGTCGAACTGTTGCGCGTACTTGACGTAGGTCTTAAACGCAGGGAACTGATTAAGCTCATCGATAGGAATGTCCTCCAATTTCAACTTCGTCCATACGTCATAGGTCGTCTCTCCATTCGTAAGCCACTTGTTCAGTCGATATTCTTCTGCCTTGGTCACGAATTCTTGAAGTATTTGTTGTTTTTGGCGGACGTAAGATCGTTTTCTGATAGTTCGTCGAGTTTCAGCGCCTTCTTGACGTATTCGTCAGATTTCCCTGTCTCGAGCCACCACCTCATCTTGATTTTCATCCAGAAGCCTCTCTCTTCAGTGTCATATAATTCCTCGTCGCTGAGCTCTTTACCAACCCTGAGGGACCGTTCCGCCTTAACATTCTTGGCTGCAGAAAGCATATCATCGTTGACAAGTAGAACGATAATAATCGCGCTAAGGACTAGGAAGAAATTCATCACGGGAGAAATACACTACAGTAGCGTTATACGTGGTACTGAGTGAATTCTGAAATGAGAGCACACTCAGGCTAATTAGGAGCTGTCAGCTAGCCCAGAAAGCAGCAAGCGATGGGACTCCTTCAAAAAAATAAAAAATGAAATCTTCTTGTGTTAAGCCATGTATGTTGTGCTTAAAGAAATCCGTTAGAGTGCATCTACGGTTCGTGGCAAAGCCACTACAGATATCCTGGATGCCTTTCAACTCACCCAGCCGTTATCGTTGCTGACACATACATGTTGCTGTACCCTTGATGAGTCTCCGAGCGTTATACTCATCTCAGTCGTGCAGTGGATGGAAATCCAATCCCATCGAATCGATGGCACTCCTAAATACTCGAAAATAATTTATTTCGGGTATTTTTCAAATAAATATTCCCAGCAGAGAATGATTTCTTTAGGTGCCAGAACTACTGCATGAGTATGAACAAGATGTCGGCACGGTAAGATATGGGGAGGTATCGTTTTCGAAAGTTGATGATAACATACTCAATGGTGACCAAGAGTGGGAACGCGGTCGGTGACATCAAACGGTTTGAGAAACCCGAAGTCCTTAAATCCAACTTTATTGAAGGCGAATAAAGTAGGCGGCGGTGAGTTTGATAAAAACTTATAAGAAGATCAAGCGGTCAACGGCAGCGAAGGCTCTTCCAGCCCTCGGTAAATTTCGGTTTAAAATCAGTTGCGAAGAGCTAATCAAGTACTTTTAAAAGGCTTGATGAAGGTGCTCCGGTGTTGGATTATCGTTTCGGTCGAATGTAAAACTTGGTATTTGCCGTCGCGTGCTTTTGTTTTCATGAAAAAGCTAAAAGTTCTGCGGTCAGGTACTATATCGAACTAGATCACGTTTGCCGCCACAAAAGAATTATAAAGGCAGCAGTAGAACCGAGAGCAAGGAGAATTGAACAACGGGATACTAACAACAGCATATGTAGACAGATCAGTCTTAGGTAGATTACACAGTAGGTGAATCGTCATTCTAAGCGAAGGCTGTTTTTGCTGTTGTTTTTGTGGAATTAATGTTTTGTATCGGGGGATGAAGAAAGCACTGTTATTGCGGGGAGCTCAGTCCTGTCGACAATATCCAGGTGGAAGGCATTATTCGATGCGGGTATATGTTAATTAACGCTTAGAAAAAAATATCAGATCGACATAAAACGGGTACACTCGGTTCTTACTCAAGTCAAGTCACTTTCAATTGGGACACCTTTTGATTGGATTTTATCTTTGCCACTCGCCGCAAATAGGTTTGCTCAAGTGCTGGTCAAAGAAGAAAGCCCACCAATAATGGCCGAGACACCGACCCAGCAGAGTCCAATACGTCCGTCTGCAATGGGTCAATCGCCACGCAGCAGCAGCAACTCAGTGCAGCGGCAAAACGGCTTCGAGCGACCGTTCTCGCGCGACCAGGTGATCTCTTGGATCGGCCACTCGCTCTCGGCGCTGTGTTTCTTCATCGGAGCGACAGGCATCTACTTGTGCACAGGCGAAGGAGGCGTGGAGGAAGAACACACCAGTACTACTGTCACCACACTGGTAGGTCGATGGTAGAACGAGTAGAACAGCCACTTTTGATTTACAATTCACTGTGTTTGTATAAATGCAGACGCTCGTGACTATTGGACTGCATGTAGTGAACTCAATGATCCTCGTGACAGCCTGGAGATCCTGCGAGACTATCGACCCTGCTGCACCAGTGGAAGACTCGCTGCCCAATGGCTGGTGCGGCGTGCGACTGAATGGCCCACGATGGGAGAAAACTCGGTACTGCGCACTATGTCGGAAGCCGGTGCCTGGACTCGACCACCACTGCACATGGCTACAGACGTGTATCGGCAAGAATAACTACGCCCAATTTTTTACAGTGGCTTGTACAGGCACACTGCAATTCGTGCTACAGGTGGCGTACGCAGCGCTGAGTCTTCTATGGCTTCACTACCACCCACTAGATGACGCAGGAGGGTTCGGCTACGTAGTGGAAGGCTGCTTGATCGTGTGCTTGATGATCTCCGTCCCGTGCATGTTCATGTACTTCGTTCTAGTGGGTTTCCACGTTTGGCTCATGATACTGGGCTACGGCACGTACGAGTGGATGCTACGACGTCGCAAGCAGCAACGCGCCAAGTTGGAAGCCAAGAAGAAGAAAACCGGCAGCAACGACGAGATGAGCTCCACCAGCACCGTGTCAGTAGAAAGTAGCCACACAGTCGTCAAAGTGGACGATGTCAAACTCGAAGAACGGGACCGAGAGCTCACTGTCCTGTAATCCCTCGATCAACTGTACCAATAAATAGTGAATCCAACAAATAGGAAGCAAATGCTACCCCCGCTCAGTATGAGAGCAGCAAGGAATACTCCCTCTCTCTATTGTATGATGCTTACTGCTGTTGCTGCTTGACCTGAGCCACAGCCTGCTCGATACGGGCACTGATGTTGGGCAGTAGACTCACATGCGAGTCGACGCAGCGGCCTACACACGTCTCCATGTCCTTCTGCGCACGAGCGATCTGTTTCTCACTGGGATTACCACCGGCAGGCAACGAGTCTTGCGCCTTGTCCTGGCAGTCCTGCACGCATCGCTGGATGCGGTGCTGGAAGTTCTGCATCTCCTGCTGCATGAACTGGTTCAGCTGCTGCGTCGGCATCTGGCAGCGCTCCACGGCCGCCGAGAGCTGCTCAGACGACCAGCTCTTGTTCTCGAACACCTTGGCTGCGCACAGGTAGCCGTCGCGCTGCAGACCACGCAGAAGCGTGCGGTCTAGGCGGTCCACCATCTTGTCCACGGCATCCTGTAGCTTAGTGTCGGCCATTGTTGCTGTTGGCCGAAAAATGATTAATTGTGTGGAGCATGTGACTTGGGTGGATCAGCTAATCAAGCATTTAGACTGTTGGTCTATTTTGCAGCTGACGAAAACATCCTAGTCAAAACAAAGGGTGATTTTTAAAAAATTACGTCGAGTGTGGGCCACGCTACTATGGGTTAAATAGCTGCTGAGCCTTCACACTGGAAAACCGCCTTGAGCATGGAGCCCGCCGCGTCACCACCTTCAGAGCTGCAGCTCGGTGCGCTGTACGGGCGTTACCGCCACTGGCGGTCCCCCTCGCCGCCACCATTTGATCAATCGATGGAAGACGCTTCTAACGAACCTCCTGCTTCCTCTCTCTGCGCTCTAGTCGTGCAGTTCGAGGCGACTGCACGAGAAGATCTGCGCGTCGGCTTTGCCCCCTCGTCCGAGGCCTCTAACGACAGCTCTGAGGACGCTGAAAAAGACAAGAAAGCCCACATCGAGTGGAAGTATGAGGTAGCGGTTGGAACGAGTGGAAATACGGAATTGGTGTGGCGCAAATCGGCTTCTGGACGCACCAAGGAGGTGGATCTAGCCCGGGTCTTCACAGGCCGCACGTGTTCGACCCAGGAGTTTGTGGCGTATTGGGTTGTGGCGGATGTTAAGAGTGGCTCATTCTCCTTCGGTGTGGGCGCTCAGGTGGGCCAGGACGTCCTCTCAACAGTGCAGGACCCGGACTTTGTCAATGTAACGGAAACAGCCTTCACGTCGTGGGACTCTCCAGTGTCCATTCGAGGCATTCAGGTTCGCGGCGTCTACGAGGGCCAGACGGAGGCTCTTGCAGCTGCTAATATAGCAGCTTTCCCTCCGCCAAGGCCGATGGTGCGGGCTGATCCGTTAGGCAAAGAGGACCTATTGACGCCTGAGCAGCGTCAACAATATGAGACCGAGTATGCGGCTTCTAAGCGCCGTGCCGAGCGATTCGGAGCGCCATTTGCACCGCCCGACATCAAGAAGTTCCTGGACCCTAGAGAAGTGAGGAAGCTCCAGCGTACAGGTGCCATTATGCCAGGCTTCTCGACAGGTATCGACATCACGAGTCAAGAGGAGCAGAGCAAGCGCGAACAGCGCATGAAACGCTTTGATACACCGCAGTTTGCAGTGGAGTACACAGCTGAGACTGCGAAGGCGTTGGAGCAAGGGATGACGCAGGTAGAATGGGCTGAGAAACAGCGCGACCAGGAGAAGTTACGCGCTCGGGCGCAGAAGTTCGGGCTCTCAGCTGAAGAAGATCGTTCCCAAGTGGTCCCCACGGGCATTAAGCCAGCGTCCGCTAAGGTGCGTCGAGAGCGATGCGACGTCAAGGCTCCAATAGTTGAAGGACAGACTGTGGTATTCCGCGACGACGCACTGCACATGTACTCGTTGGACGAGAAGTTCCAGCAAGTCCGTACGAGTGATGTGATGGATTACTTCGTGGGGTACGGCCCAGCATACGTGGAATGGTTCAACGACAGCTCGTGTACCGTTGTGTTCCAGGACAACTTTACTGCTGCGAGAGCGCTCGTTGCACTGAGTCAGGAGATCCCACCGCAAACTTTGAAGCAGAAGAAGGAGAAGACTGGTGCGTCTGGAGAAGATGTCGATATGGCTGATGCAGAGGCGTCTGCGGATGACTCGGCCATGGCAATGGAAGTAGAAGAGGAAGTTGAGGTCCCTGATGTCGAGTTTAATCGCTCGCAGTGGCATCTGGGTAACCCCATTGGCAGTCAGACGCAGCCTCGTGACAAGAAGTGGCGCGTGTTGCTGCGTAAGGCCACGGACGACGACTTTCCTCCTGAAAAACTCCCTAAGAAGGGCATGTATCACTCTCGGGGCAGTCAGCGCCATGACGCACGAGGCAGTCGTCGTCGCAATGATCGAGAGTACGGATCCTCGTCCCGACGACGTGGCGGCTCAAGAGCTCATCCGTACGGCGAGTTTCGCGAAGACCGACATGGAGAGGAACCGTCCCGCAGTCGTCGTCGTAACAAGAACGATGATCGCGATACCGGTAAACCCTCTAAGCGTATTCGTGTGAACCCTGACGGCTCCATCAACATTGTGCGGGATGAACAAGCAGCTTTCAGTGAACCAGCGAGTGAGAGTAAGCCAGCCGATGTCCCTAAGTCCGAACCAGCTCCGGCGGTAGAGTAAGCTGGTATGGATACAACTCGTCAGCCTGCTACATGTATCGAGCGGTATTAAGATCTCACCAACTGATAGAAAGAGCCCGGATCACAGCCATAAGTTACCGCTAAATTCGTTGTCATCTCTAAAAATCTGGTTGAAACTTGGCACTGATTGCTTCTCGGCAGTATGGACATTCCCCAAAAACTGTATGGAAGGATTGACGCGATGTGGGTAGCGCACGAAGCCAGTCAAATAGGCATTTGGCGTGGAATGGTCGATTGCACTTGGTGTTTTCACACAGACGGTCAGGGATGCGTGAGCCTTGCTCTTCAACTGTTTTGCATTGGTTCGTTCCATCAGGTTCTTGCTTCGCTTCCTCATTGTCTTCCTCGTCCACTAGGCGGTACGAATAGCAGATCCCGCATTCAACCGCAAACTCTTCAACCTTCGCTGTCTTTGGAGACGGCAGGGTAACTTCTAGTACGGCTTCTAGGTTCTTGTGTAGTGGTCTGGATTCATCCCACTTGGTCGATCCATTGTTGCCCCAGCGTTCACGTAACATTCCGACACTGGCCTGGTTGCCGAAGAAGTTCAATTCAGTCAACATCGCTGTTGGGTGTGTCGGGTCCACTTCAAATTGCACCGACGCATATCGCTCAAGAGCCAATCTTCTCCGCCCCGTAGCTCTCGAGGCATGATGCGGCTCCAGTACACAGGCCGATGCATCAAGTGCATCCAGCACGTCCCAAAACTCCTGAAATCGGTCCAAGAAGCTCTCAAACTGCTGTAATATGCCATCCAACACAGACTGGTTGTCATCGGGTGGCCATTGCAGTTCAAAAGCTTCGGGAGCATCTACCAAACACTCCGGCTTCGCTGTGAACCCTGCAGTCTCATACTGCAATGGCAGTAGCACTCGAATCGCATGGATTCGTTCAGCCTTGTCCTTTGTCTCGAGCTCTAGCGAGCGCAAGTCGTCACTAAGTTGGCGAAGCCGATTCCAGCCCACCACGTCCAGTTCCTCCATCAATCTGACGTAATATTTAGCACTAGGCAACGCAACCTTATTTCTAGTCTGTGTCCTGCAGCAAATTGCAACCAGCTCCTCCAACTCCGTCGCGAAACCAGCGAGAGACGACGCCTGCGCCAGTCGCAGCTTCAGTGTAGAACTATGCGGTTTTAACCGAGTCGCTAGTGCCCGCTCCACGTCCAATTGAGCTGCATCCAGTATAGCTCGACCCGTACGTGAGTCGTACGCCACCTTGGACACACGCACTGCGAATTCATCGCCACCTACGCTCACATAGCCACGGTACACTGAGCGTGCTGCGTCCTCGGGAACAAAATGCATGCCACTTGTGAGAACTCTCTTCAAGTGTTAGATTAAGAAAAAAAAACAGTTATAGAGATTGGATTGTGATTGGCTGAACGCATGAGTTTCCTCACTTCAGTGACTACTATAATTCGTATCTAACAGGTAGCGATTTAACTAACTCGTCACCCAATACCGCCCGCACGTTTAGATAGCTAAAGCTCAGTCTCTTACGTCTCACGTCCAGCGCAACAATGCTGTCGTCGTTAGCGCGTCCTGCGGTGCGCTGCGCACTGCGACCGCGTCGGATACTAGGTGACCAACACTCTGTGCTGCTGCGCGGCTTCGCATCCGTGGACAAGTGGGGCGTCATCAACGACCGAATCACCGCACGAGTCGTCAATATCGTGGAGGATAGTGGCATGCGCACGGATGTCCCCATTCGCCAGGCTATTCAGGAAGCACGCAGCCAGGGCGTGGATCTGGTGCAAGTGTCGCCTATAGGTAAACTGCCGGCGGTCTGCAGACTGTTCGACTCCAAGAAACGGCTGTATGAGCTCAAGAAGGCCAACAAGAAGGCCACCAAGCAGCAGAAGCCCAAGCAAGACAAGGAGGTCGTGGTTGGAGCCAAGATCGCTGTGAGTTTTTATTACTGCCGTTACTATTTTTTGCTGTATTCATACTAATGTTTGATTGCTATGTTACTACTGCCAGCCGAACGACTTGAACATGAAGGTGGAGCAACTGAAGCGGTTCTTGAACAAGGGTCACAAGGTCAAGGTGACTATCAAGTTCGAGCAGGCGTATCATCTAAAGGGGCAGTGCTTGGAGCAGCTGGGACACATTGGAAGTCTTATTGACGCCGAGACGGGCGTGCCTAGTGGTCAGCCCAGGGAACAGTTTGGTGGAGTGTACATGTACTACTCGCCGGCCAACTAGAACAACGCAGCGGGTTGTGCGACGTCCGTCATTTAGAGACAGCAACGCTGGAGCTTGCAACAACTTGTAGGCAAATGGTAGAACCGAGAGCATCGGGATTAGTGCTGTATAGCCCCGTATTATCGCCACGTTTTTTGTCCTCAATGTGGTCGATCTTATCGGTCGATGCTGCGTTGAGTGACATGGCGTCAGTCTTTAGAGTGCTACTACGCACGAACAATAATACAAGAGCAAGATCACGTGGTTTACTGTCAAACTTTCTGCAATACATTACAGAGGTCTACATTAGGTACAGAGCTGATGACAGCCTGAGCTTTCCTCTCCGCATGGTCATGTTCTGTCACTTCTTCGTGAAGTTGATTACTGGGCTATCGCAATATTTAATCTACTCGTTGCCAAGTTGAAGTTGTCTCGAGGTCTAACGTTTGGACCCAGTCATTTCTCTTCTAACGATCAAGACTCCAACCGCGACCATGGAAAACGAGGGGGACTCAACGATTTCGGTGGAGTTTTTTTCACCTTGTGCGGACATCACTGGGCTAGCTATATGCCCCAAAGGCGCGTTTGTCGAGGGGATTTTACGCGAAGCACGAAGTCTTATCGACCAGGTGGCTCATATCATCGACGAAACCCCAACGATGCCCGAACTTCCCGGTCCAGTTCCAGCACTGATCGGAACTGCAGTCGTGTCATTTTGGGCTAGGATTTTTTGAGCTTGGTTCTCGCAGTCATTCGGGGCCGAATTACCCCACAATCGACGGGCTTGGCGGCGTGAGCTACGTCAGTTCCGTCACCACCAACTACTTAACAACTAGGAGATGCTGATAGCGTGGTAGCAGAGAAGAAAGAAATGCTTGTCTTTGAATGCAGCATAGCGAAGACATTGACGAAGACATACCATGTAGTTAATGAGCTGCGTTCCCATTCATTATTCCTTCATGAAGCTGATCTAGCATCGACCAACACAGTACAGTTGAACGGAGTCGAGCTATCTAGACGTTGATTACTCGCGCAAGCTTCTGAATGCGGTTAAGCAGCAAGTCTCCCTTCTTGATAGCGTCCTGGTACTGCGCGTTCTTGGCGTCTGGGCGATTGGTCTCAATAACACCAGCCACCTTGTCGATTTTGGCATTCAATCGACCGGCAGCGATGAATCGTGCAAGCTCCGTGTCCAAGAACTCAACGCTCACTCCAAATGCAGCGGCCATTGAGGCGATAGTCACACTGCGATAGGCTTCCAGGAACTGGGCGTAGGCGAGCACACGCAGCTCGCGGTACAAGAAGCGCGAGTGGGTCGACAGATACTTGTCCCGCAGGATATAAGGCTGGATCTCCACCATGGCCGTGAAGAATTTCTTGTAGTCGCAGTCGTACAGACCGTTCAGAAAGTCTGTCAGGCACGGGATCTCGTTGATGACTGCCAAAATCTCGGGCGAGTCCACGATCTTCTTCTTCAGGTCCACGCGACTCATGCTAAGTACGCACGTGATGACGCAGTAGAAGACCATCGTGTTGTACGGCATGAGCTCCGTGGCTGTGAAAGTGGCCACTGACTCCTGGAACAGCGTGGACGCCTTCTTAAAGTCACGCGCCATCAGCAAATAGCAGCCTTCATACACTTTCAGACGGTTACGACGGTCCCAGTCTCCACCCTCGTCAATGAGTCTACAATAAAAAAAAAGTAAAATATTAGTACACCCTTACTAATAAAAATAAATAATATATGTCACGTACGCTGTGGCCTTCTTAATGTACGTCTCCACCAGTTCCAGATCGGAGAAGAACAGTCCAATGCGGATGACGTGCAGTGCCACGAGGATCTTCTGGTTGATGGACTGGGGCTTCTCTCCAGCCACCTTGAAGGCCTCGAGCGCCTTCTCCTTGTCTCCGATGCGCGAGTACATTCTCGCTTTGGCCAGTAGCGCCTCGAGCACTTCAATATCTCCCAAATTCTGCTCAGCATCGGCCAGTCGCTCGTCCAGAGCTGCAAGCTCCGTAGCGTTCTTGTTGGCCATGTCACCCTCGAGCGCTGCGTCGACAGGCCAGTTGAACTCGCTGCACACGAGGCGGTAGAAGGGAGCCATATCATTCTGCTTGATAATCTCCAGCACCTGCGTCTGAGCGGCGGCAGCAGCCTCAGGAGTTAACGTCGAGGCAGAAGAGTGTTGGTGCTGCAGTAGGAAGTGCAGCTGCGACAGCTTCATGTTCGGCAGTGTGCTGAGGTCATCCTCGATCTCCTCCGAGATGTTTCCCACGCTGGCCTGCTTCTTCAGCGCTGGGACTGCGGGCTTCTTGGCGTCGTCAGCAGCCATGGTCGCTTCTTGGATATTGAGATCTATTTCAGGGGGAAGACGTAGTGTATACCACATCAGAAGTGGTAAGTTCGCACGCGAACTTTAGGAGCAGCATACCCAAAATCTGGGCTAAGGGAATACATAATTTATTACCAAAATTCATACTTCATAAATTTTAATTTTAAAAAATAAACTATTCGATTTTTTTTTCTTAAAACTGTGTCATTTTCATTCGATATAAAAACATTATTTGACATTTATTCGGGTTTTGGGTTATGCGGATGCTCATATTCGAAGACTTAACAGATACAGAAGACACGACAAACTAAACGTTGTAGTAGCGAGATAGAATTAAACTCTTACTGCTTCCAAGTAAATGACAGCCTCAATACCATATTCAGGTCGAAGATTTGTGCTTAGCTGCCGTAACTTAAGAAAGTAAAAAGGTTTTACTTTCGTTACGAAAAACCAACCATTTATTAGTATGCTAAATAATAAATAGTTGGGTTTCACATTATTATTAACTTCCGACGCATGTAAAAAAAAAAAACAGCTCTTCAGAATGGAACTTCGACAAGGCAAAACCTCCAGCGATACCAGGACTCTATAGTTACTAAGACAAAAGTAGAGGACCTCTGAATCACCACCAGTTTTTATTACCAAAACGGGTGAATGAAAAGTAAAATTATGGACTAATAGCACTAACAATGGACCTCATGAAGTCAACAGTTCTGCTTTCGAAGCAAAATTTTAATTATTCGGGCTGGAATCGGATTCTTGCCGTTAACACCGTCTGGGAATGGAATATTTGTAGGGCGGGCTTAACTCTCCGTTGGAAAGAAGCTTCAGTCTAGTTGATGTGAAGTACTCAGTATATGAAAGATGCTACGCTTGTGTTGATCTGCAAGAAATACTTGGTAATCTGCAAAGTTAAGAATTAAAATAGCGAGATATTTGGCTGTGAAATTCTTGAAATCAGGGAGCTTTCCCAGTAAGCTGATGTCTTTACGCGGGTGTAGCTCGAGCAAGGCGCTAGCTCTGCTTATAAAATTACTACCGCAGATTTAGACGCATATTATGTTACTGCACCTATCAATGCAGTTGAACGATGCTTAGAGTGGCTTTCTCTAAATGCTGGAGCCAAATGAAGCAAACTGGTCAAATTGGTTATCTGTCCCTAAATTGAGGCTATGCCAATTGTAGTACAAATAATATGAGGCAGATAGCACCCATATCGTTTTGCTGATATGTCATTAAGGTTTTATATTAGCAAGAGACTGCTTACCGGTATAAGTACAATTAGCCACCTGCATTTTTTAGCCACCTGTATGTAATAATCCTTGACAATCTGGTCTGATGAACTGGCTGTGCTGCAAGATTCTGTTCATTTCAGTATTCCAAATTAAAATACCCATTCTTTTCTGGAATACTGAAATTAGCAAAATCATGCAGTATGTCAATAGATGGCTCTACCAGGCCACGGTCTGGGCGGCGCTTGACAATTGTATGAAGAGCATAAAAAGTAGTAGACTCTTTTTGTGAAGTTACTGATAGTATATACGCTGCTCTTGCTAAGATACTAATGACCAGTTAAAGTGACATCATACATGTAGAAGTTAACATGTTTCAGTTGTTAATACACCAAAAGATTTTATCAACCTCCAACCGCAAGTACCTCATCATGTCTTCGTCCTTACGAGTCTGCCTTACGCCTTCTTAGGAGCGTCAAAACGCACGATGGCACTGATCTCCACCATCATGTAGGGCAATCCGAGGCCTGTGACGCCCCAGGTCGTGCTCGCTGGTGGGCACTCACCAAAGTATTTCTTGTGCGCAGCAGCCAGCTTTTCGACATTCTCGCTGAGACCCACAGCCAAAGTATTTTCACTCACAATTTGGCTGCGTGTTGCTCCGATAGCCGCGAGGCACTTGTCCAGGTTGGCAAACGTTGCCTCGCATTGCTTCTTGAAGTCACCTTCACCAATCGGATTTCCTTCACCGTCATGGGCGAACTGACCCGAGATCCATGCCGTATCGCCAGCAACGATCACTTGGTTGTAGTTGTGAGCATCCTCCCATGGTAAACCGTGCGAAAACGTCTTCGGGGTCGGAGGCACGTCTAGGCGGACGGTGAACTTGATCTCCACCAGCATGTGCGGCATGCCCAGTCTAACCACACCCCAGTTCGTGCTGGCAGGGCGATGTGATCCGAAGAACTTCTTGTGCGCGGCGTTAAACTTCTCCATGTTGTCGCGAATATTGACAATCATCACCTCCGTATGGACGATCTGGTTGCGCGAGGCGCCAATTTCCGCCAGACGCTTGTCAACGTTCTTGAAGGCCTGCTCACACTGTGCGTCAAAGTCGTCGCCACCCGTCGGCTTGCCTTCGTCATTGTAGTCAAACTGGCCCGACACTTCTACCGTCGAGCCACACGCCACAATCTGTCCGTAGCCAAACTCCTCCTCCCAGGGCATGCCATTCATGATGGTCTTGTGGTCCTCGAGCAGATCCAGACGAACCGTGAGCTTGATTTCCACCAGCTGATACGGCAGATAGAGTTCCGTGACGCCCCACACCGTGCACGCTGGGCGATGAGAGCCAAAGAATTGCTTGTGTTTGGTCCCCATAACTTCCATGTTCTTGGCCAAATCGACCACCAGCACCTCCGAATGTACGACCTGGTTGCGCGAGGCGCCAATCTCTGCCAAACACTTGTCAAGATTCACGAACGTGGCGTCGCATTGCGCGCCGAAGTCTCCTTCACCCACGGGCTTCTCGCCTTCGTGAGCTAACTGTCCGGAGAAGTACGCAGTCTCACCCACGCGCATGACCTGCACGTAGGCGTGATCCTCTTCCCACGAGACATTGTGCTTGTAAGTCGAGTAATTAGACGACACGGTCATTGTTCGGTAGGTTTCTTGGCTCGGTTGGCTTGTTGGTGGAGTGGCGAATTGCACAATGAGTTCCTTTTTCAATGTAGTAAAAAGACCGATTGCATCATGGCAGTCATGACGTTTACCCTCCTGAACATGGCGATTACATCATGATAGTCATGATGTAATCTACTACTGGATTTCGTCACAAAATACCATAGTCGGAACTCCCACTAAGAAAAAAGAGAGTTAGCGACACTAGTAATCTCATACCCCCCCCCCAATACATACATATTCAAATAATTCGTGAGTGTAACCTTATTCGACATCACGATCTTATCATCTACAGTAGTGACACATGCTAGAGACGGGAGCTTCAGGTCGCTCGGCCTTGGCGACATCGTCAGCTACTGTAGCCCTACATGTAGGTAGGAATTTACCCTGTCAGGCCTTGTTTGATCATCCTCATCAAAATTAGCCCACTCTGCATCATGACTTGCGGTTTTGTTGATAGAAGGGGCTTGTACAAAAGACAAGTGCGTAAATCGTTTGGCTACGGTATCGCAAAAATACTGCATCTGTCAAGATTACGCATTCACCTTGCGAATTAGCGAATTACTTGTCCAATTTTACCGTCTCCATATTGAAAAAAAAAGTTTAAAAACTAAAATTTCATGAATGTGCATCACATAACCCGCCCTAAATATTAATAATTGTTTATTAAAAAAAAAACGAGCAAGCTTTGAGCCCAGATATTTGAACTACGTTTTTTCCAGGTGTAGCATCCAGATATTTCCCAGGTTTGGAATTTATTTTTCTTCCAGCAATTTATTTTGTTTTCCTTTCACGCCCAGCCACTCAATCGTTGAACTGACACGCGGCAGGTCGGAGAAAGGGAAGGAACATGGCACGCACGCACAAGACGGCCAAATCAAGCAGCAAATGGCCGACCAAGCTCGCGAGGAAGAAGAAGCGCGTACCGCAGAGGCAGTACGCAGGGCAAGTGTCGAGGCATCCCGGACCCGAGCGCAGAAGTCTCGCGCAATGAAGATTGGGCGCGAGGAGAAGGAAGGTGTGGACGTCAGTACCGAATCTGGTCCCAATGAAGCCACTACGGCTGACGCCACGACGGATATTCAGCACTCAGATGATGGGGACGAACATGAAGACGAGGAGGACAGCGCATCGGCGTCGGAGGAGGAGAAGGACGCGGTGGTGCACAGTGACACGCGTGGTAAGAAGAAGAGGCCTGCATCCGATGGCGGAGACGACGACGATGGAGAAGTCGACGGAGTTACAGTGCCCTCGTTCCAGACCGATCACAAAACCTGGGCGCTATTTGAGGAAAGCTTGCAGGAGTACATGCGTACAACCAAGCAGGTGCTAGTTGTAAGTGAAACGGTCAGTACCAAGCGACGCAACCAGGATTTGCGTAAGCAAACGCGGTATCAAGGGCTCCCAGACAGTCAGATTCCTTTGGTTCCTGAGGAAATGAACCCTTTTCAGCGCAGGTACATTTGTACGCATGGCTGGGCCGAGCGTGAAAGGTCTAAGGGCAAGCGGAAGGTGTACAAGCTTCGCCGGACTGACTGTCCGTTCCAATTTCTGGCTCAGATGGTGCGAACAAAGGGGCAGTGGGGCATTTCGTTGAAGCGCGAGGTGTATCGACACAATCACCCAATCAGTTCCGACATTTACATGTCGTACCCAGGTATTCGCCAGGTATCGTCCAGGTCTCCACTAATGCCTGGTATTGAGCTGTTGGTGGAGTCAGACGCTAAGAATTCGAGTATTTATGACTACATCCGGCGGAATTCTGATCACCGCGTGACGATGGATGATGTTCGCAACTTGGTAGCACGCGTTCGCCAGTCTGGTAAAGTAAATATTGTGTGCTCAACGGGTTCTTAGGTTTCTAACTGCATGCGTGTACTCGTTCTGCAGGAAGGACACTTTCTGACGACGACGCAGTTGCCGAGACTGTGGTCAATTTCAATTTGGAGAACCCAAGGAATGTATCCACCGTTGTGCAAAGCGCTCGAGGTGATACTGGTGTGATATCAATAACAGCTCACATGCGCGATGTACGACAACTTCCCTGAGGTGCTGCAAATGGACTGTACCCACAAGACCAACAAGTGAGTTTCTTGTTTGCATATTTTGTAGTACCGAAATCCAGAGATTTTCCATGTGTAAACCAGATATTGACTGGATGGTTTGTTGCAGGTATAACTATCAGTTGTTGTCACTTGTAGCGATGGACCAATTTGGGCACGGCCAGCCAGTGCAGTACTCAATGCTTGAGACGACTTCCGACTGGCACATGGCTAAGTGCCTTGATCACTTCAAGAGAGCGAACGAGCACTGGCGGTTAGTTTGTATCGTCATCGTGGACAAGGACTTATGTGAGGTGGATGCGATAAGACGCAAGCTTCCTGAGGCGCGCGTGCTCTTGTGTCATTTTCACGTGATAAAATGGCTGCATGAAATGGTGCGTTGTGGGAAGTACGGGTCGTACGCTCTTGACGTGGCTGACCAGTTAAAACATCTCATTACGAACATGACCTACGCAAGGACTGAAGGCGATTACAAAGCTAACAGGGATGAGTTTAAGGCCGTGGCGTGCCGTGACGGGGTTTCCACTCTCTGGGAATACTTTGTGGAGAACTGGGATTCATGCGCCGACATGTGGGTGATGTTGCACCGAGTTGATCTGCCACACTTCAACAATCATACAAATAATCGTGTTGAGAGCTTGTTCGGAAAGATCAAGCAGAACGTCAAGTCCCACGTATCGATGCATTCCCAAAGCACCAGTTCAATTGTAGCAGTGATCCCGACAATTGGAAAGTTCACACGTGAGCAGTTGGAGGCAATGAGGTGGGTTTGGAATCTGCACAAAGTGTGCGATAGCGGAAAGAAGTGTGCCTCGTGGGTACTTACCACAGTGAAGCAAGTTGTAGACGCTGACAGTAAAGTTGGGGGAATGGCAATGGAGCTACTGGAGAACTGGCCCTACAGCAAACTGGCTGGGGTAGGATTTGACTACGCTTACGCTGGGCTATACTGCTTCAGGATCGGTTGTTGGTTGAGTGACGACTCTATCCTTGCGTTTACGCAACTGCTTCGAACTGAGTATGGCAACAATGCCACTGTTTTCTTGCAATCAGTATCAAGCTCTATAGTCGACACGGGAGACGTTGTCACAGATGTTATATCCGTAATTACGCTGGTTAAAATTCGCGAGTGTCTGGATAACGATCTGACGGGGTACATATTCCTTCCTGTCAACTTTGATACCAACCACTGGGCATGCCTTGTCATCAACAAGTTGAAGAAGGAGATTGTCGTGTACGACAGTATGAACAAACGAAAGATTGGCAAGATACTCAAGTTGATGGCCCGTGAGATCGACGGTGGTCTACTCGATAGTGCGTTCAAGCACCTCACAATGACCACACCGCGCCAGAAGGACGGCGACAGCTGCGGCATATTCGTGTGTCTTCAGTTCTGGAGACAAGTGTCAAACGCTGCTCCAACGGATGTGTCTTCGAGGGGTCTTGTTCGAGTGCGCTGGGAGATGTTACAAGCTTTAATGAACCAGAAGGCGCAGTGAGTGTAGCGGTGCATCCTGATTTTTGAAGATTCTGCTAAGCAAAATATAACCTGGCCAATACCTGGTCAATACTTGGTTCCACCATGGAATACCTGGAAGCCGTCACGCTGTTCTGATTGGCTACATCGGTCCCATGAAGCTCCGACAAGAAGTCAACCGCGTCATTTGACAATTTGCCCATGTAGCGCGCATGCAGTTTTTCCAGGTACCACAACCTGGTCAATACCTGTTTTGGTAATATAAAAATATATTTCATCATTTTGGTGACCTTTTTGTGGCCATTTTAGACACCTGGATAATCCCTGTATGGAAACTTGGACAATATTTGTTTTTTAATAAATTAATTATTATAAATAATTTGGACTGTAAGGTCGTCCTTAAAAAAAAGTAAAAATAATCTTCGGTAGAAGTTACTCTTCATCCTCTAACGTTTCACGCTCGCTTTTGAGCTTCTTCCGGTACTTGAGTCGCCTCTAAATAAATGATCAACAGCAATTCTGGTATGGAGAAGTGTGGCATTCTCATACTCGTCCGATAAGATCCGAAGTGAATCTCTCGAGCCGCTGTTTGAATTATGAATAGCCGTTAGCTTATAAATCCACAATACAAAACTAGGTTATCTCCGTTTTCTGTGCCAAAGGAAAGCGAACTCGACGCCAATTTTGTCCGAATGTCCAATGTTATTAGGCAGAGAGAGAGAGAGAGAGAGAGAGAGAGAGAGAGAGAGAGAGAGGGCACGCTCCACGGAGAAACAAGGCTTTGAAAATGATTTCCGATCGAGCTCATCCTGTTCACACTCGCAGCAAGTCTCCAAGTCTCCAGGAGCCGTGAACGGATTCCAAGCGATACTAAAGTTTACTGTTGGGTAGCTGGAACAGAGCCGCCGAGCTCGAGAAATCGTGCTGGAAAGTCGCTGTACGAAATGTCCACTTTGACCGTGTTGGCTTCTTTCGCGATAGGGTACCCATCGCTTAATGGGGCTGGTGATCTGTTCCATGTACGCCAATAGAGGGAGCTAAAATCAACGGGTGGGCGTCTCCACTGGAGACGCCCACCCGTTGACTTTGGAGACTCTCCACGCGCAGGGCGGCCCAGTTCGCGTAAAATCGCCACGCTTCAGTCTCAACGCTCTCAATGACCACAAGACTCAGATTTTCTTCGTCATCGCGGTAGTCCAATTGAGGCACAAAGTATGTCGACATTTTCGTTGTGTTTCTTCATTTGAATTCCTCCCATGTCCACAAAACTAGCAAATATATAAAATAGCGATCTCATTTGGCGATCGTGGCTCGCTGCCCCAAATCATTTTATCATCACTTCTTTAGCGAGGACGAGGTTAGCTAGCTACCTTTACAAGGAGATTTAGGTACGCATTTCTGTCGCTACAGTCTACATGTACCCACAACGTACTCTGAGAGATGTTAATCAGCTGCACGTAGATTATCAGGCTATCCTATGGATGCTGCGTTATATGCCTCGCACGTCCTAGGCCTACTGGTAAAAATACGCTATCGTTAACCCAATAGCTGTGGCAGCGTCCCGAGGTCTATCTTCATGGTTGTCTTGTCACCATAGTTTCGGATAATAGTGAAGGCGTCATGAGGGGCAACGTCGACTGCTAGGTCATTCAGGAATGCCGTCAATTCCTCGACGTCAACGTGGCTTTGCTTCTTCTGAAGGTCACTGATGCGAGTTTCCAGCGCGGACTTGTCCACTTTATCATTCACTTTTCGTAGCACAGCAAGCTTGTCGGATCGTGCAAACTTGGCCGGGCGAGCCTCCATATACTTGGCACTATATTCGTCCATCTCGAAGAGCACGAAGGTTCGGCCTGTCATGCGAACTCGAGCGCCGACATAAAAGTCATCCAGGCCGAGCCACGAAATGCGGCCGTCGGTCATCACTACGGAACCGTCAGGACGGGTACGCTTAATGCGCGTTCGCTCAAGGAACTTGCCACCTACAATGCCAGAATTGCGCTGGATGAACTCGATAATAGAGACACTTTGATCCGACACGATGACCGAAATCACAAAGCGACGCCCTACGTCTTCGGGTTGTTCCGTCTCGAAACGCGCACGGAACCGCAGAACTTCAGTCGTATCGAGGGATTCAATGCTCTTGAGTGGAGCTTTTGGTAGCAAATGGTAGCATGACTGTAGCGAATCCTCCTCGGAGCCCAAACCGTCGTGAACTGGAGGTGTAAACACCGGCGGAGGTGACACTGCGTCCTTAACAGAAATGGCAGGGGCGAGCGGCATCTGGTGCTCCTCGTACCATGAACGAGTGGATGCATCGGCGTCCAACAAGAGAATTCGCCTATTGTAGATCTGGAGATATTCGCCAATGGCCAAATCCTCCCACGAGTAGTAGTGGTGCTGAGGGACATCTTCATCATCCGCTGCTTCGTCGCACACTGCAGCACATGCTTGGCGTTCCGGATCCTTGGATAGTTTTGCTCTGTTGAGCAGCTTGGGGAATGGGTCGCATCCAGAGTTCCGCTCGTAAGATTCGAGGATTTCGATGGTGTTATCAGCCAGGAAGAAGTGCAGTGTGTAGCGGTGACGAATACCATAGAGCCTCTCGGTGTCGTCCCAGATAGCGAAGAAACGCAGCACCTCACGGTCATGTGCCAGGAATCGACGCAGGTTGTCGCTGGGCCGAGCAAATTTACCCAGTGAGGCCTCCATAAAGTCTTTCATCGGGTACTTCTTCTTGCCATAGTGCGCATCTGGATCTTGTCCAGTCTCTCGAGCCATGTGTGCTTGACGTAGCACCGTGTACGGGTCTCGTGGGACTGCTTCATCTGGGGGCACATGAACTCCCTGAGAAACGAGGTAGTTACGTGTGAACTCGTCCGCCGAGAAGAGGTGGAATGTCCGACCATAAAAGGTCAGCTCTTCGCCCACGTTCAGGTGGCGCAACGTGAAGTACTGCATGTTACCACGGTCATCGCTCTCTGGCATTGGGATGCGGTGTCGTTTAACAAAGTTTCCCTGTAAGATGCCGCTGTTTTCGACCTTGGGCTCAGTGATCTGCAACGTATCATCCTCGAGATAGTATAGCACTTCGCAACGCCGCACTCGATAGTTCTCGAGGTTGCTTTCGTGCACGGCTTCCAGGAAATACGCTTCAAAACGCAATACTTTCTTGTCGTAGGCAATGAACTTGGGGTTGAATGGGCGGGTGGCCATGAGCACGGATGCATCCAACAGCGTGGTGCTCCCTTTGTCCCCTTGACGCTCCAGCTCTCGGATGTAGAATGTTGCAGGTTTGGCATTGCCCAGAGCGTGACCGCGGTTCTTGGGCGCAGTGTCTCCATGCCGTCTGAAGATCATTGGCACCACCTTCTGCTTCTCAAGGATAGCTGGGCTTGGCATGGTTATCGCGCCGCTCGACAGCTGGTTTCGTCGTCTTGGGCGAATGTCAGCTTCTGGGACTTCTTTTGTGGCTAGCGTGTGCTGCTGCGTTGGAGTTGTATGTTCCGCAAGCTATAGATAAGGAGCTATTACTAGTAGCGCCAGCTGCCTTCAGCAAGAATAGACATCTCGTTTCCCCTATTTTCGTCTTCGTCACTGGAACGTTGACGTGAAAAAGGTTACTGAAACATGTTACTGCTGTCCGCTCACAGAAATTCTTCAACGTAGATGCTGTCGGCCCGTGGTCGCATACGTAGAGAAGAGGACCCTCTCCTTAGTAGCCTTTGTTTTGTTTTAGTTGAAGCGACTGATTCGTGGCTTTTGGAGTCTGTCGTACCTGGAAAACTTGAACTCTCGGATACGTTGATCTCCGTAGTCTGGGATACTGCTTCCAGCTTTGCCGCAGTTTCAAAGTAGGCCTCTACCACGAATGCAACTACAAGGCTTAGCACCATGACAACTCCTACAACGTAGAAGCTGATGAAATAGATACGACTCCACTTCGTCGTCACTGCCACTGCGCCTTCCATCGTGACAAACCACTGATTGCATAAAAAAAGCAGCCATTTCTTAGTAATGACCAATATCTGGAGAAGTACATCAACTCACATTATTGACGATCAGCAGCTCGAACAGAGTCGTCAATGACGAAGCGAAGTCATTAAAATTGTTGCTGTAAAAGTTCGCTTGGCCATACGGGATTGAGGCCAGGCGTGGATCTCCAACAACGAGTTTGCCTCCAAATAGCTGCATTCCGGCTGCTGCATACTGGTACATCAGCAGTCCGAGCATCCCTACACAAAGTACAAGTACACTTGATGAGTGCTGAATACGTTGATAACAGAAACGATAAGAGACGTACCATAAAGTGTTGCAAAGGCCGGGATTAACCGCACGACAATGGCAAACATGGAGCTCAAGGCTTGTAACGCTACGAGAAGTCGTAAGCAGCGTAAGAAGCGAAATAGCAACAACAGACGAATCCATTGCCACTCCACTTCAAAACTATGTGAGTGCACACTGACTTCTGCAACGAAAATGACAAGCGTCACTGCGCAATCGTAGATGTTCTTGGTAGAGCTAAAGTATCCACCCAAGCGGAAGACATACATCTTTAGTATCATCTCGACGATGTAAACCAAAGAGAATACTAGCATCCACCGCTCCCACAATAGACTCACAGCCACTTCACCATGAATCTTGGCTTGGATTTCCATGAGAATTGCAATGAAATTTCCGAGGATAATAACATCAACCGCTCTGTCAAACCACCCACAGGCCACAAAACGCTGAGTCGCACGAATAATCACGTAGCCACTTAAGTCACGTGGCTCGTAAGGGGCCGCAGTTGACGATTTCTCGCTCGCCATGAATGCTTTAATGAGAACCACGAACTCATCGAAAGCGATTGGCTCATTGTTTGAGTTCTCGATTTCTTCAGTTTCAGTTGACTCATCATCACGAAATAGAGACATTGTCGGCCGCATGAGCTTGTTCATGAGGCGATTGTATGTGCTCTGGCCGATAACTTTGAAATGTGCATCCTGTTCCATCGCACCTTCAGGAAGTATGATCTGTTCGGTCGGCAAGAGATGAAATGCAGCTTGAAGTGCGAGCTTTCTCTTAGTTGAATACTCCATTGCGCGTTCAGCGATTTCTTGTCGATAGTGTTGGTAGATTGAAGCAAACACCAGGTTCATCACGAGCAGCTGGCCGATCATCAAGAAACTGATGAAGAAGAGACTGTAGATGCGGGCTTGCGAGTAGATAGGCATCATCACATCTGGAAAATTGGCAGTCGTAAGCAGGATAATGAGACTCAGGCATGCATCCTCAAACGACTTGAAATATACGCCAGCTTCTGCAGTATCCACGAAAAGCATCATGCCGAGAACCGCAAAAAGAATGATAAGAAATACCAGCGTTATAAGACCGTCAGCGAAGCGTGGCAAGGCCTTGAGCAAGCTGGAGAAGCCGGATCGTAGCCGTTGACTCATGGATATCACGATAAGTGGACGGATAAGTGGTGCTAAGACAATAGGCTTAGATCCACTTGGGACCAGCTCTCGTTCACCTTTGTTTCCGTCCAGATCCGTATCTTGTGGCACGACGAGCACCGTGAGTACTGCCACAAAGTCTGCAAGCACGAAGATAATCTGGAGAACGTGCCACTTGTCCACAAAATACACGCGAGACCCCATGTACTTGTACTTCATCGACAGCTCCAAACCTAAAAACAACAGGCACACGAGCTCGATACCGATGGACGCATTCTTCGAGAGCACTGGTAATTCCCACGTCAGGACTTTCAAGTGATCACCACACGAAGACTCGAAGAAGCACCACGAAGGCGTTTCGAAGAAGGCAAGCGACATCAGCAAGCATACGTTTGCCGTCCGGATGTACCAAAGACCGTGGTAAAGCTGCTTGTAATGCATTCGATTCAGACCATCGATCAAATATTCCTCTCCAAGAAACCGACCGTGAATAGCGTCACGCACGTACAGAGCAGCCAACTCAATTCGTTTTTCGTCTATCACTTGATGGGACCCCCGCCGCCGAGATTGACATCGCCCTGATATGCCCAACGGTGACCTGGCCTCGTATGCCAAAATCTGTTCGTCAACGGCATCCTGTCGATGGAGGCGGCGCCGATCACCATGATGAGAAAGTCGGAGCTCGTCTACGAATTGAACGAGTTCGTCATGGTAGTATACAGTGTAACCCAGCAGTAATACACTTGCGACTGACACGAATAGCGTTGACACAACAAGAAAGAACGCACTCAACGAAAGCGCACAGCCCAGCAAGGCAGTCCACTTCGAGTACTGCAAAAAAGAAGCAATAAGCGCAACGGAATTTAGAGACGGCAAACAAGCACAAGTTCTGGTTAGCGTACCATACGAAAGGAGGGGTGGAACGTCGTAGATGATAGATCTTGAAAAAAGCACGCGAAGTTGATAAGGAAAAACGTCAGGAGGAATGTGGAGCTTACGATTGGAATGATCGCGTCAACCGTTCCGCATAGTAAAGCAGCTTGACACACTGCCCAAGTGCACGCTAGTGAAATGGGTGTGCTGCTTTGGCTATATGACACCTCTGTTACCGTAACTTCAGCCTCCATTGACGGGGAGTGAGCTTCATTTGACTGGAATGGTTGAGCGGACAGCGCCACAAAAATGGTGGAAGCTCCTTTAATACTCGAAAGTGCCGACGATAGCGTCGTAGAAGCCACGCCCAGAAAGATGAGCGGTACTCCCAAAGCAGAATCCACCACAAGCGGGACGATGAGCGGCACTGTCTGAAGCACTTGATTCTCTACACAAGCAGCGAGTACGAATCCGAGCACCGCGTAGATGATAAAGCTGAACGCCAGCGCCTTGTGAATTCCCAACAAAAAATACTGCGACGCTTTCTTCGCAATAGCAGACGACACTCTGGCTGCGCTTCTCTCCGACACAAACTCGGCCAAATTTGCGCCTGCAATAACGCCACAAAACCCAGGAAAGAACGTCTCGAACATCTGCCTGAGCATCTTGGGTGTGTGCTCATCCGAGTTCTGTCTAAAGTGTTTGATCGACATTCCTGTATGCTTCGCAGCGTTAGGTACCAACAAAAACAACATATTGCACCCCACCGCCACCATCACCATGACAAATACAAGTCGTAGAGCTCGCAACGTGATGCGGTTCTGTACTCCATACATCAGCACCGCCAGGATCACGCTCGCAGTTACCACAGTGACAGCCGATGCGTCTTCATTCCACGGTAAGACGAGCCCATTACGGTTATGCAGTCCCATCACGACCATTGCCAGCTCACTAAAGCCGAGCAGGTAGAACGCGGCGCCGATACTGAAGGACAAGACCATCATGAGGCCAATCATGTGGCCTAGTCGGTGGCCTAGCGAGCGGCGCAGCGCATTGAACAGCCCTCCACTTGCCAATCCGTCACTCGTGGACGCGAGCGCGGACATGGACATGACAGTAAGAAAGCTAATGACGAAGGCCACAAATATGACGATCAGCGCGTAATAGATACCCAGCGTCCCCACGACGACCCCGAGACGCATGAAAACCACGACACCCAGGATGCTGCATACCACCGGCGCGAACGTGTTGCGCTCCAGCTTGCGGCTCAGTATCTGCAGAGACTCCACATGCGTGGCCTGACTCTCTAGGTGATGCGCCAGAGGGGGGATGGCACCGTAGGCAGCGGGGGCCGCCGCCGTCAGTGCTTGCCCTTCCATGCCAGTGCGGGATAGGAGTGATGGTCTTAACTTCAATGTTCAGTTAAGTACGTTATGGTGTTTGCCACATTGTCTAGCAAAAAAGTTCTTGTGGTGTGCCAAGACACTGGTGGCTGGCACACAGCTCCCTAGGCAAGTGAGAGAAATCCGTCCCGACAAGTAAGATGGCTGAGACGACCCCCACCGTGGTGCCTGGCGAGGAGACTACGCAAGCGCAGGAGATCCTGCACTTGCAGTGTCGCTTCTACGAACAGAAGTTTCCAGAAATCGATGAGCTGGTTATGGTGAATGTGCGCTCCATCGCCGAGATGGGCGCTTACGTGTCCCTGCTCGAGTACAACAACATCGAGGGTATGATCCTGCTGTCCGAGCTGTCTCGACGCCGCATTCGCTCCATCAACAAGCTCATTCGTGTGGGCAAGAACGAGGTGGTCATGGTGCTGCGTGTGGACAAGGAGAAGGGCTACATCGATCTGTCCAAGCGCCGGGTGTCCCCCGAGGACATTGCCAAGTGCGAGGAACGCTACAACAAGGCCAAGACTGTGCACGGTGTGCTGCGCCAAGTGGCCCAGGAGAACCACCTGGAGATTGAGGACTTGTACTCGAAGGTGGCCTGGCCGCTATACAAGAAATTCAAGATCGAGACCCCCAGCGACGATGAAAAGAAGGTCGAATACGTGCACTGTTACGATGTCTTCAAGATGGGCATCACAGACGACTCGGTCTTTGAGGGACTGGATATCACGCCTGAGATCCTCACGGCGCTTAAGGCACAGATCCGTCGCCGGCTAACCCCGCAGCCCATCAAGATTCGCGCGGATATTGAGGTCACGTGTTTCACGTACGAGGGTATTGAGGCCATCCGCTCGGCCCTGCAGGCTGCCCAGAACGTCGGCACTGAGGATGTTCCTGTGAAGGTTAAGCTCATCGCGCCGCCCATGTACGTCATGACCACCAGCACGCTGGACAAGCAGAAGGGTATCCAGAAGCTTCAGGAAGCCATCGAGGCTGTGCGAGAGCACATCACCGCCAAGAAGGGCACGATGTCCGTTAAGATGGAGCCGAAGGTGGTCAGCGTGAACGAGGAGAAGGAGTTCCTGCAGATGATTGAGAAGCTCGAGAACGAGAGCCGCATGGTCGACGGCGACGCTCCGGAGGATTAGACAGGCACAGCGCAGACAGCGTTAGCGAGCACCGATTCGGCATGGATGGACGACGCTGGGATGCTTTCTTTAAGCTTGACGATATCGTGTGCTGCAAGCTTCCTGGCGCGCTCTCCCGTCTAGCGTGGCTACCCTTGAGGCCGGTTGGTTCGCCTGTAACAGATTAGATGGATGCGCTTTGCGTGCACACTCAATACAGCTGAATGCACTGCGCACCCTTGTGGTGGTGAATTCGCTGCTTTTATATACATCATGGTCATCTTGAGTGCATTCGCTTCAACGCACAATTGAAACCCAGATTTACTCAAGAGGCCGGAGTTTCCCACCTTTACATTTCTTGTCGCTCTACAAGGTTGATTCCTCAGTTATACGCATTCGCTTGTACTCGTTGTACTTCTTCGATGATCCTCTCACCTATTATGACCGAAACCACGAAAATGCGTTAGCGAATAGCGACAAAGGCCAGCTCTCGCAAGTCTTGCTATACGAACCAGGTCGGCAGGATATTTCCTCGCATTCTTTGCAATCTTGTCGTTGACAGCGGCGGGTAAGTTTACGTCGCACTTGTCGGCAAGTCGTACCAGGTAGATCAGCACATCACTAATCTCCTCGCCAAGGTGCTCCTTGTCTCGCGCGGACCAATCTGCCATGACGCAAAAGCACACAACATCAGTTAAGTGCACCAGAAGACCCTCAATGGAGACATCGCCTCGTTGCTTACCCGCCGTGTTCTTAACCTCACCCTTCCATTGGAAGATCTCACAAAGCTCACCCACCTCGCCGTTAAGAGCCAACAGCAAGTTGCGAGGCGTATGGAACTGGTAATATGACATGCGAGTTAAAGTATAAGGTTTAGTCCACGTACGTGTCCGAGCATCGCAAGAAGGCCTTACCTCATTCCAGTCGCGTTCATCCGCAAAGTCCGCGATACGTTTGCGAAGTGACTCAAGAGTCATCGTCTCCTCAAACTTTGCTGGTGCATGAATATTGGCAGCAGTAGTATCTTGGATATTGGTATTGGCAGCGACTGCGACGTCAGTAGTCGTCGTCTGCGCAGCCGAAGAACCGGAGAAAACATCTTCACCCATGGTACTGTCAATTGCTCCATCTAACAGTTCGCTACCGTGACCACTTGCGCTCAGAATATCTGCAGCATCAACAGATTGAGGTTGTCCTTGTGTGTGGTTATGCTGAACCTGCAAAATCGCCTGCGCTCGGGCTTGCACTTGAGCATCTGTCATTGCCTGGACTTCCGCCTGAGCCTTAAGCAGTGCTTGTGCTTGGGCATATTGGTATGCCTGTGATTGAGCTTCAGCCTGTGCCTGAGCTTCTGCTTGCGCTTGAGCATGGGCCTGAGCTTGAGCGCGTACTTGGGCCTCGGCCTCCGCCAATTGTTCCCTCATCTGTCGTTCATACGCCGCTTGCGCCGCCTCCGCCGCGCTTTCAGATGACATCACGTGCTCAATCTGATGCACATGAGTGTTTGTCGCAGCAGACTCGGCGATCTGTTGTGTCGGTGCTTCATTGTCTCCATCATGCGTCGCCAGTTCATAATCCGACTCGTGCAACGCACCGCTCATCATCTTCATGGAGTCAGGACCAATAGGGTGGTTGTGCTTATCATGCGTCCGCACCTTGACGCGATACGTGGGGCCGTACTCCACTGCAGACGCGTAGACGTGGAACGGGCACCCGATATCACGCAACTTATGCCGCATCCGCTTGCCGCTGCCTCGCGAGCGGAATTTAATGCCGTGCGTGCATTTAAAGGTTTTGGACAGGAACTCGGCAATGTTCTTGCGGTCGTGCTTGCCTTTCGATACTGTGCGGTTGTACACCTCAAAGGTCAGTGACGAGCGCTTGCGGATCGGGTGGTACGCCGCCGTGGCGCGCGCGATCGCAGCATCAAAGGACGCCCAGTCGTCGTAGAACTCGTCGAAGAGCGGGCGGGCAGCCGACGCTGCGTCTACAGTGGGCGCCGTCGCGATGGTCTCCTCCGTCACGCCGGCGTCCTTGACCTCCTCGAGCGATTTGTTCAGCTCCATCAAAAATGACTCGAAAAATGGCGCGACCGTTCTCAGAAGTCATCAGAATTTAACTTATTCTCAGTGAGTTTTACAAACCTCAAGCCTAAACAATCACTCTGACCTGACGTTCCGCACTCGACGTAGCATTATGTACGCTGCGCCGCCGAACGACCGCACGCAACTGCAGGAGGCTCTGCAGCGACTGCAGCATGAGAAGGGTGAGGCAGACGGCATGTTGCGCATCCTGACGTCCAAACTGAAGGAGGCGGAGGAGGATAATTTTGATTTGCGCGCCAGTATGTCACTGTTCGAGACGGAGACGAAATACGAGAGCGACAAGAAGGAGCGCGAGATGCAGAAACGGATGGCGGCACTCGAGTCCAAGCTCGCTTTCATGTCCGAAAAGCTGCAGAACGCTGAGCGTGTCAAGCTGCGTGCCATCAAGGAGGTGGAGGAGCTGCAACAGATGCATACCATCGAGACCAAGCGCCGTGACGCCGAACGTAGACTGATGGCCACCAGACGCCGCAAACACGAGAGCTTCCTGGCCGCCAGTCAGTCTACGAGGATGTCCCAGCAACACTCACAGCTTTCGCAGCAGGTGACGCGGCCGCCATCGGCGCTAGTGGTGGAAACTGCCGTCCAGACAGAGCTGAAGCTCGCTGACGAGGGAGGAGAGAGTGGCAGTGGCGGTCTGAAGGAGGAGAACGCAAGACTGGTATCATATCTATTGACGGGGACTTCCAGGGATTTACTTACACTTTTGAATGGCACTGTGCCTGTGGAAGCTGGGGAAAATGCGCAGCCTAATCCTGATGATGACCGAACGCAACCGCTACAAGGATGCCATAGCTCGACTCCGTCGCAGTTTTTTCAAGGATCATCAAGCAATTCGCTAAATGACTCGATGCAGCAATCGGCCAGTGGAGTTCCGTTCTCGCAGAGTGTATTCTCGCAGCTTACGGGGAGAGCTTCCGCTCAAGCACACGCGTCGATTTTGAGCGTTGCTAGGGGGACCAATGCGACACAGAATGCGTTGGCAACGGATCGTGCACGAGAGCTGTACGATGTGATTGGAATAATGCTGACAGGAGATGTTTCTGCTGTTGCTCTTGCACCTGTGCTCGTGAAGTACCTCACGGCGCCAACAGATTTGGAGTGGGGGATAATTTGCAGTGTGTTGCGCGTCATGTACTCGGTGATGCATCACAGTGCGCATTTCCAGCACTTTCTACTTGTGGCATCGTCGCCTTCTGATGACTCCTCGTCTTCAGTTTCCAGGCTGCAACGTAACATGAACAGAATGGACCACCCGCGAATTGCACTATCCGGTCTGCGCTTTACCTCGTTGGACGATTACTTATCAGTTCGATCGGATTATGAATCGGTGGTTCAGAGCGACCTGCTGCAGTCATCTGCAGCAGAAGTTGCTTCAGAACAGCGGCAGCTTTGTTTGAAGCTAATAAGTGCAGTGTGTCGAGTTATAAAGAACAATCTCAAGGAGCCTGCCGTTGTGAAAGATGGTCTGTGCGTACTGTGCTTTTGGGTCGACCTCGGACTTACGCATCGGCCGGCATTAAGCCCAGACGTTAAGCCCTTGCTGGCAAGCAACGTAATCCCATCTATTCTGTTGGCACCAAAGGGTCTTCCCGCCGTCAAAGCATTAGCACTTGGTCTGCTATCCCAGCTACTACGCGTTCCAGAAGTTTTCACAGAAGTGGAGGCCGAGTCCAAGAAATCATTGCTATTTAACCGATGCGCCAAAATGCTGGCTCTTGAAGGCGATATTTCTGTGGATGAGGCCAAGAATTTACGAACACTTCGACACCAGATAGTAAGGCTGCTGCTCTCGATTATTACGTCGTTCCCTGCCGAAGGAATTCGATTCGTGCTTGAAAGCACTCACGGCCTCCCCGGCGACGCGGATGGATACCGGTCAGTTATTTATTATCTGGCCCAGCTCCTTCACCAGGAGACTTTTCGTGCACGTACAACAAGCGTCGACGGTGAAAGTTCCGATACGCAGGGGCTGCTAAATGACAACTTTCGTATGGATCTCATCCAAGATTCACTTGGGCTGTTGGGGCTTCTTTCGCGCTATGTGGATGTACGAAGCGAGCTGGGTGGCGATGACCAAGTGCAAACGTTTCACGGGACTTTGTATTTTCTTAGCAATCTTACCCAAGTCGGCGACGGCAGCAGTAGTCGAAACGACTCGATTGCGGCATCCGCGCGCACCTTACTTGCGATGATGAACTTCCTGGGCGATAAAGGATGACATTTCTGTCCGCTGAATTTTAAAAAATTGTGCGCTGTTTCGAGAACAATCTGAAACTGTGAACTCATTTAGTCCATGCACATCGGTCGATATAATCCGACCGTGTCACTTTCGGTCGTCGAACGTATAAGGAAAATCTTATGGCCCATTCGCGAATTAGAAACAGCGGGCAAGCTCCACGGTGTAGGATCCTTAGACTTTGGTTCTTCGCTGGAAGCAGAGCAAGAGCGAGGATGACGCGTCTGTTCGTTCAGGCGTTGCTACTGGCGTTGATCGCGCTGCGTAGTAACATGGTGCTAGCATCCAACAACAGTAAGCCCTTCTGAACGATGTACTAAACTGTGGGGGGTTGTGGGAATATAACTTGTACTCGACGTTTGCGGTGAACACAGCGTGTTTTGAGTTACCGATCGTGATTGTGTCCCCAACCAAAGTGAAGCTGCCAACCGAGACTTGTAACCAACCTCGCCTGCCAGCACCTGACTGCATGAGGGATCCCGTCGACGCTAACATTGAGGTTATTGACAATGCAAATGGCACGATGAACTGCTTGAAAGGGAATCGAACCGCAGTGTATCCGGCCAGTGTTCACTATCGCGGACAATCCAGTCTCCACTTCTCGAAGCACCAGATTGCTGTTGATCTGAAGGAAGCCAATGAGCTACTCGGGTTTCCAGCAGATCGAACTTTCGTACTGAACGGTCCAACAGTGGATGGAAGCCTGATGCGCAACCATCTAGCTCACTGGATGTTCCGCGGCACGGATCGGTATTCGCCCCGTACCCGTCATATTGTGGTATTCGTTCGTGATAGAATAGATCCTAATGACTGGATCCCGCGGTATGTTGGCATCTACTTGGCCTTGGAAAAGATCGCGTACACTCCGAACCGTGTTGGACTGACCGAACTGAACAGCGCTTGTAAGACCAACGACGAACTCTCTGGAGGTTGGGCGTGGCAAAACAATCCGCTGGGTTACGGTGATTACTCGCCCAACATCATGCTGAATGAAGCGACCGGGCTCTTTGGCGCCGGTGAGAGGCCGATCTTGATGTTCCCAGAGCCGAGAGTCCTCACACAATCAATGCGCGATTACTTCGTGTCTCCCAAAACTGGACCGCTCCCCCGTTTGTATCAGTATCTCTATGACAACATGACGCAACCGGACGGACTAGAGGAGCATATCGACATCGGCTCGTTCGTAGACTACTTTCTGCACTCGGAGCTGTCGATGAATTCGGACGCTTATCGCCGCAGCACTTTCTTCTTCAAAGACCGTGACCAGCCTATCAATGCTGGTCCAGTTTGGGATTTCAATTTGGCTTACGGGAAAGGTGGCTCCAAGACGACCTGGCTGTACACGATCCACGCGTTCTGGAAGCGCCTCACTTGTAACTACAAGTTCGCATCCCTCGTTCAACAGCGTTGGACTCAGTTGCGCTCGACGACGTGGAGTGATAAATCCATTATGTCGTTTCTGCAAACAAGCGCTGAGCCAATTCGGCGCCAGTTGAAGAAATGTGCCGAATGGAAGAGCGATAACTTGCAGTGCGCGTTTGTTAAGGCTAAACAATCCAAAGGCAGCTATGACGATGAGGTCAACAAACTGATTAAGGCGGTTCTGGGACGTGCTCAATGGATGGACTCGAGTATAGCTGGGTTTTACAAGACGCTTAACCACAATACCTGTGTTGCTGCTGGTCAACTCCCTGCCTACAACTGCGCAGCGAACGGAAATGACAAAGGATGTTTGGCAAACCCCAGCAGCTACAGTAATGCAGTCGAATTCCCGAAGCCCCGCAAGAAAATGGCTGCAAAACCCTGCAAAGCTTCCAACACCAGCATTGAAAGGCCATCCATTGATCCTTGTTGGCTGTCGGCGGGGGTTTACATGTCGGATGGCTCGATTACACCTTTTTGTTCAGGCTACGGATTTTGTCCTGGGGGACCAGGTGCGAAGTGCACGTGCAAGAAGGGCCACCGGCCTCCAACATGCGCTCGGGAAGGCGAGATCATTCCGCCTCATGGTGGATTTCCCGAAGATAGTATGGGTGCCCAGAAATCTTCGCTGAACAAGCCTTCAGGTGGACTTTCGAGTTACAAAACGCTGCTGTTCTTCCTGTGTGCGCTTTCGGCAATGGCATTGGGCGTAGCTCTTGCAACCCGTCAGCGCCGTCGCCAGCAGTACAGGCGTCTGTACCAGCCAGCGGTGGATGCCACATCGGGCAATGCACCCGAGCTGCTCTACGGCACGTCATAAGGAAACTGCTCTTCTAGGTCACTTTTGATATGGTCACGGTCTATTCAATGAACAGCCAAGCTCTCACTTTTCTAATCTTGCTCATGTAGTCTCTACCTGTCTAGGCCGCTCGACAATCTTTTTGTCCTGAATCTCGAAGATGCTCGAGAAACACGAAGTGATTTCCTCTTCGTGGTGGGTGATAAGCACCATGTGAGTCAGCTGTGCTGAGTGTTGACCAATAGTTTCGATCACACGCAACACATGAGCGCGGTTGAATGGATCCAGGCCGTGCGTGATCTCATCTAGAATCAGCAACCTTGGACATGCTGCCAGCGCACGAGCAATCAGAACGAGCTTCTGCTCGCCCTGCGAGAGCTGAGAGAGCGTACGTGTCTTCACTGCATCTGGGAGCGCCAGCAACAGCATGGTAAGCTCGGCAGCATCTCGGCTTGCCGCATTGCTCTCGATTAGGCTGAATGCGGTTTGATCCTCAGCTTCCTCGGCCTGAAGGCTTTTGTGCAGGAGCTGGATGTGCTGGTCAGTCGAGATAGCTTCGAGTCTTGAACGAGAATTTGTTGGTGCGTCCTCGCTCGGAGAGTCCGATTTAAAGAGCTGTACTTGCTCCCCGACCACCAAAACCTCACCTCCTGTGAGACCGTGACCTGGTGTCTGCATCAAAACACGCATGAGCGAGCTTTTGCCAGAGCCATTAGGTCCTAGCAAAACCCAGTGTTCGTGCGTTTGTCGTACAAAATCGACACCGTCTAGCAGAATTCGCTTGCGGTCATACGAGATCGTCACACCATTCAACTGCACAGCAGGCATGTCGGCAACAACTTGTGCTCCGCCCCGGCACTCGAAGAGTTGCTCGACAAGGGATACAAGTTCCGTGTCCGCCATCTTCACCCGCTTCTCATTCTCTTCAGCGTAGAACTCCTCTAAACGCTTCATCATGGCCTTGTTGCGTGTGTCGTCTTCCTTATCGTCAGGCCAGGCTACGACCTCGAATCCATGGGCACCATTGTCACCTTGTTTTAGCAGTACTGTGTGCGAGAAGATCTCAGGGAAAACCTGTTCCAGCCTGTTCGCTACTAACAGCACTTGTGTCTTGTAGGCGAATGCCTCGTGTTTGGCCCCCGTCGTCTCCACCAAGAGCCTGGTAAACCCCCTCGTCAACTGTCCGAGCATCCACTGCAGCTGTCGTCTCGCCTTCACATCCAGCCCGTCGAACGGTTGGTCTAGAATCAGCACCGACGCTCTTGGAGTCTCCAACAGCGCCACTGCAAGCAGTAGCTTCCTCATTTCTCCAGTCGATAGGTGACGCACTCGCTGCTCCCACACGGGGAACAGTCCGAGTCTCACAATCAAATCCCGAGCAGTAGGCGAGCCAATACCGCCAAGCACATCGGCCACAACACGATGTCCATTCTCGGCCACGAATTCCCGATGAGCATCAAGACTGAGACTCGACAACCGGCAGGACGCTGGTAGTTCTCCCCTTGCCTGCTGCCCCTTAACGTGGTCCTGTAGTCTAGCCAAGAATTGGGTCTTCCCGCTGCCATTGAGACCCACAAAGCAGTGCACGTCATCCGGCTGCAGTTCGTATTTAGGCGGCAAGGAGATGACCGACTCAGACGCAGCCACCGGTTGTGGCGCGGCTCCATTGCCCAGCAAAGTACTGAGCGCTCTTCTCGTGGGAAAATTATGAATAACTTGGCTCCTAGAGAGGGTTGAAAGCTGCAACAAAACTTGAGAGCTGCTCCAGACGCTGGACAACAAGGTCGAACCCGCTGTTGGCCGAAAGCATTGGCCTGACGCGCGGGAAGGTCGTCGAAGAGACACGCGAGCCCACCGCAGTGCCTGCATTGTTCCAAACTGGAAGGCAACGGGCGACATTATCATCTAGCATACATATTCTATATCATAGGGTTTTCGCTGTGCGGCCACAAATCCGCATTCCCATTCATATCCTTCATGGCACGAGTGGTCAAGTCCTTCATCAACGGCAAGTACGTGGCGCCCCGGGCGTCGGCGCCGAGCTTCACGCTTCTTAATGCCACGACGCGGAAGCCCGAGACGTCGTTTACCGCTGCAGACAAAGCGCAAGTGGATGAGGCCGTGGGTGCCGCCCGATCGGCTCAAAAACACTGGCGTCGTCTGAGTCCTGCTGAGCGTGGCTCGATCCTCCGCAAAGCCGCAGACATCCTGACGGCCAAGACGGACGAGATTGCAACTTTAGAGACCATCGACACGGGACGTCCCATCGCTGAGACGATCGTCACGGACGTACTAAGCGCTACGGACTGTTTGAACTACTATGGAGGTGTAAGCCCGTCTGTCGGGGGTCAGCACTTGGAGCTCACGGGAGGCAGCTGGGCCTATACAAAACGCGAGCCACTGGGTGTCACTGCTGGCATCGGAGCCTGGAACTACCCGCTGCAGAGTGCGGCGTGGAAGTCTGCGCCCGCTCTGGCGTTCGGTAACTCGATGGTTTTCAAGCCGTCTGAGGAGACGCCACTTACAGCTTTGAAGCTGGCTGAAGCCTACATGGAAGCAGGTGTGCCTGAGGGAGTTTTCAACGTGGTATTGGGAGCAGGAGAGACTGGACAAGCTCTAGTGGAGCACCAGGATGTCGCCAAAGTCTCGTTTACTGGCTCTGTTGGAACCGGACGCAATGTGTATGCAGGTGCAGCAAAGGACCTGAAGAAGGTCACTATGGAACTTGGAGGCAAATCGCCACTTATTGTCTTTGACGACGCAGATATCGAGCAGGCAGTGGCCGGTGCTATGATGGGCAACTGGTACTCGTCCGGCCAAGTGTGCTCCAATGGCACGAGAGTGTTTGTTCAACGTAAGATCTTTGATAAGTTTGTGCAGCGTATGCATGAACGCACATTGAAGCTGCGTATTGGTGATCCGTTGGACCCAAGCACGGATATTGGACCCATGATCCATGAGAAGCACATGAAACTGGTGGAAAGTTACATCGAAAAGGGTGTGGCTGAAGGTGCCACGTTGCTGAAGGGAGGAGGTGAGCGTATCATGCCGTCTGAGGCCACCAAGGACGGCTTCTTCCTCACCCCTGCGATCTTCGTGGACTGCAAGGACGACATGACCATTGTACGCGAGGAGATCTTTGGCATGGTCATGTGCATTCTGCCGTTTGATACCGAAGAAGAAGTGCTGACACGTGCGAACGACACGATCTTCGGCCTTTCGGCTGGCGTCTTCACTAAGGACATCACGCGTGCTCACCGCATGATCGATGAGCTGCAGGCAGGCACGACGTGGATCAACAACTACAACCTCGCGCCAGTGGAGACTCCGTGGGGTGGCTACAAGAAGTCCGGCGTCGGTCGTGAGAACGGACTTGCCGGTGTTGACTCGTGGACGCAGCTGAAGTCCGTGTACGTCGAGATGAACGAGGTCTGGTGCCCTTACGCCAAGTAGGCACAAATCGACCTCGCGAAGACCACCGGATCACTAAACAAATGTAAGTAGCCGGGTTTGTGACAACGTTGTTTTACTCTTTTGCTATGCTTTAGTTTATCTTGGCCTATGATCATGGAATTGTCCTAGAATGTGTACTCAGTGGTGGCCTCTTCACGTCGCATTTGAGAGCTTTTACTTGTGGGTGAAGGGCGAGGTGTCACTTGTGTTTTGGGAGCACTACTGCCACTGAAGGCAAGAGCCAGGAAGTCTACGTTACCACAGCTACTAGTGCCTGGATATGGGGGCGGTGGTGGGAGCGGAGTTGTATCTACCGGTTCATCTTCAGAGCCCTCAAAGTCCGGTGCTGACGGAGGATACAATGAGCCTATTGGGGGCATCATGCAGGTCACACTCGGCGAAGATTGAGCAATCAAATTCTCTATCTTCGGTGAGTTCATCGCTACATCAACCATCGTCTTGGCTGGGATCAGCAATGAGGCAGAAACACTGGTGCCTGCTGTTGTCTTCACGTTGGGGGACAGCGAGATGTGGCCGACACACATCTCACAGAACGACGAGGTCATCGGGTTCAGGTACGTGCACTGTCCGCAGCTCCAAGTCCCGCTAGTTTCGCTGATGTCTCGTTGGGATGGCTCGCCAAGCGCTACAGCGTGCGATGATTGGTCTGGAGCCAATTCACTCTCTTCACACTCTTCAGCAATCTCCGCTTCGACGGCGTGCGCTTCAACAACATCACTTTCATCGCCCTGAGACTGCTCCATGCCTCCATGCAAACTCAGCAAGGTAGTCGCTGCCTCTCCATTGTCATAATTGCTGTAGTAGTTCTCGTAACCTGTGCTGTCTTCGTAAGAGGGCGGGCTGTCAATTGCGGAATAGGCAGCGTGGTTATAGTCGTAATGCGCTGCTGTCGAGCCTGTGGAAGAATAGCCGTAGTCACTTGGGTTGTAGTAATTTGTCGTTGTCTGGTCAGCTCTTTCTGCAGAGCCATAACCAGTTGAAGCCTCTGTCCACTCTTGAGTTGTGTTTTCACTTCCTGTCTCTTGTGAAGGACGAACTGCTGCGTAGTAGTCTTCGTATCCGTAGTTTGGCACCGACTCGTGAACTGTCGATTGATCCAACACCTGTTGAATTGCAAGCTTTAGACGCCCTGGTACTTCAAGCCTATTGGCAAGCACACATTAGACTTTCTACTGTCTATGGACTTGAGTTGGTACTAACGTACGCTTGCCATTCGATAGTTTCGTGTCGAGCACTTCTTAAATCCCCCGCAGTCTGGAACCAATGTTTGCTACGATATAGCAGTTGAGTTTAGTAGCGTGTTCAACGACCTGCATCCATTATGGGCGTGTCATACTTGACAAGGTAGTCGCAGATCTTCTGAAGCTGTTCGTGGTTCTGGGCCTTGCCAATCTGTTCGGCAGCCATCCAAACCACGGTAGCTGTGGGCGTGTCGTCAGTCACTACCCACGTGCTCATTGTCCTCAACCGAGTTTCAAGGAGTGAACAAGGCAGTAATGTTGTCAACTTGCTATGAATAGGAAAACGTCTCCAGCATCTTAAACGTAGCAATAATAAGAAACTCGGGCAAGTCATTGCAAGATGAAGACATATTTCGACGCCACGAAAGCTTCATCGCAACGATATCATGCTGGCAACATCCGCAATTTCGTCAGAGGCGGAGCACAAGTCTCTTACAGAATGTTCTTCACCTTCCATTCCTTCCATGAATTGAACATCCGAAGGTACCTTCCAGTCAAGCCATCAGTGCAATCGATTCTCTTGTGCCCAACAGCGAGTTTCATTGTCAACCTCTTCGTTCATTGTCAAATTCGACTTCGAGTGAGCACTCGATTACTCTTCCATTCCCAAGGACCAACCAGCTCTAGTCATGAGTATTGAAGTCGAAACTTCTGCTGCCGGTAGTCGCATATATCTTCGAGGTGTTGAGCGGATGGTCACTGCATCCGACAGAGTATCCGTCAAGATCGCGCACTCGATGCTCGTCCGGGGCGACACGACGATTCTGCTTCATTTCCTGCCCTTTGCTGTGATACACGCCTTCAATGTGCATCCTCGAATGCGAGCTCTTCAACTCAAAGACCAGCAATTCACAGCCGAGATTCAAGCTCCCGTCACCACCGACACCATCGCTAAGATACTACAAGTACGGGTGTTGACTCCTGCAGATTATGGAGACGGCAGTCCAACGAGCTGGCAATCATTCGTGGAAAAGGAGTGCAGTGTCGGCTTTGATCGCTACTACCAGCTACCCTTCTTCCTCTCGGTTTGGGTGGCCAAACGCAAAGACACTGCTCGTCTCATGCTCTTCTCGGATCAGTATATGTCCGACGGGTTCTCAGGTGCTGTGGTGCTTAACTGCATCCTTGATCAAGTGTCGAAGCTGGCAAGACAAGCCTCATCGAACAATCAAAGACCATCCACGTTAACAGTGAAGGAGTACCCCCTACGTCCGTCGCTCTACCGCATGTGGCTCAACAAGATCACGTGGGCCAAACCGCTGCTCAAAGGCACCAACGTGATCTTCGGACGTCGAATGTTCCGTGGCAACGTGCACAAGTTCACGCCTCTACTACCGGCTCGAGACGACCAGAAGGATTTCGCAGTACCTCCCGTAACCAACAGCACCAAAGCTCTATTCGCCGATGGAGACGCTAAGTGTATGCGCGAAGCATTATCGAAATGCAGAAAGGAGGGCGTGACTCTTAACGGTGTATTGATTGTTGCCGTTCTCCTCGCGTTCTACCGTGTGCGTAGTAACAAAGAGCAGCGTGGACGCTTCAACCCGTTTCGAATCGCAATGGATGTCGACTGTAACATGCGCCAGCAAGTGCAACATCCTGCTGAGGAGAACCAGGTGGGTATGTACACTGCAACCACCGACCTTGACTGGCTCAACTCGGAAGGGGTTGACATGCTGACCACGCGTTTCTGGGACTTGGCCGGTCGTGCTAGTCGAGAGATCGAAGCGAACCTCAAGAACACTATGAACATGGCACTGCCTACTATCACGGCTGACCAGAAACTCAACGCACAGATGGACCCGTCCTTCCTGAAGAAAGTTCGAGTCGCTCACTCCATCACCGCCGACGTTGGAATCGCTGAACTGGTTCAGTATCCATTCGAGAAAAATCATTCACTCACGGACACTTTTGATACTGAGAGTCGACGCGGTCTACTGGCATACAAGAAATCTCGTCAAGTGAGGTATTCGAACAGTGAAAGTGATTTAACCCGGTCGTGGCGTCTTGAGAGCATGCATTCAACTCCGCACAATGTGCTATCTATTGAGAGTTTGCATGTGTTCAAGGCCCTGCCACATCTCGCTCCCTCTGTTACGATTTTCCTGTCATCGGTGAACGCGTTCAGCTATTCGATGGCACACAAGGTGAAGAATGATGTGGGGAACAACTTGTTCACGGCTCTAGTGGTGCTCTGCGAGAGCTTAGGCAGCATTGGTGGGGATGAAAACCTGACTGATGTTCTGGCTCGTTTGGACGAGTAATTCCTGCTGGAAACCATTTTGAGGCACTATGCTCCGGAGAAACAACGCTGCTATCGGTAGTACCCGCAGCATTTGCTACAATATCACCCTTGTTGCCATCAACTTCCTCACTTTGGACGGAAAAGAGTAGATCGGGTATGATTAACGAGAAAAACATGACATTAATAGTTGACATGGACATTACGTCTATACTTCACTTCCACGCACTACACACTCGCGATACCCACCAGGATGAACAATGGAAACTTGACTCACGTCGTCGTCGTCCATGCTACTCTAGTCACCTGTATCTCGGCCTCGTAGATGTAATTTTCGATCGCCTGGAACTTGAGGATTGCTCGCTTTGTGGAGTAACTCACCAGTACTGGCTGCCCGCAAACGATCGCGAGTTGGTCCAAAGTGCTTGTCATGTAGCCAGCCAATTTGTCCGTGGGGGGCCGCGTGGATGATTTCGACTCTCTCACCAGGGCCTCGAGGTAGGAAGACGATGTACATGTGGATCCACGATTGCCTTTAACACTCCATTCGTTGATCGATCACTTGTGATCCCTAGGTTCTTTTGAAAAAGCACCACACGACAAGAAAACAAGTAGCAAGCCAAACAGCCAAAACCGGAAAGACATGAAGCTTCTGCACCACCTCCTCGCCAGCGCAGTTTGCGTTGCCGTCCTGGGGGCAACCTCCTCACAAGTCTCGGCTCTAGCAGTTGACGTGGCCTACTTAAGGTCGGAAACCGGTAATGCCTCGTCCGTTGCTGGCTTTAACGCGAGCGACGACAGCAGCAAACTTGCTCAGAGCTTCGACGAAATAGAGGGCAGCAACAGCATTGATTCGGTGGAAAAAGTTCTTGATGCGGACGTTGAGCCCACAGTTCACTTGTACATGCCCGACTGAATCCGTCGTCTGGCCACGGCTGTTACAACACCGAAGCCAACAATTGCAGCAGCGAAGACCGCTGTACCACCCAAGTCGACAACACCGCCCAAGGCAGCAGCGCCTTCGGCATATACGTCCCCACCGAAGCCCACCAATACCACCACACCATCGAAGCCCATCCAAGCCAGCCAACAATGCGGCGCTACCCGCACCATCAAGGCCCGCCAACGCAACGGTCATGCCGACAAGTACGAAGCCGACACCCGCTGGTATTCAAAAGGTGTCGCCCACCCAGGTCCCGACTACGTCAAAATACGCGTAGAGCGGAGCTGCTGAAGCAAATTCAGCCAACCAATCTATGTGGATGCTGTGTCAAGTAATGTAGCGTAGTAAAGCTGTCGTGGAGACCATTAGTGTGTAAGGTATCTGTTTTAATGGACATACAAAACTACAAGTTTAGCTGTTCTAGCACGTCCGCCATTGTGTCCTCAGCCGCGACGTTGCCAATATTCTCACAAACAGCTACAAACGCAGCGAATAGAGCTTTAGCTGAGTCGTCCTCGCACTTGTGTCCCATGGAGTAGCAAAACGAGTCTACCGATGACACCCAAAGAACTGCTGAAGGGCCCAGGTGAGGAATATTGTTGTACACATGCAGTGTCTTCACCTTAAGCAGATTCTCCTTGCCATCGTTTGGTGATAGCCAATGCTCTTTGGCAAACGGATACCGCCCCACGTTGGAGAGATTAGCATCCGAAGTCTGTGAATTTCGGATGTTGAGGGCTTTCGCGAAGGACGGCTGTATCTTGGCGTTGATCCGCTGGTCGAGGATAATGGGTACAGCAGCCAGCAACATTGTTTGTCGAACCTTTGAATCGATCTCGCTCTTCACTCGGCGTGCGAGATCCCAGAATTTGGTCTTGAGATTAACGCCTTCGCTAGCCAGCGTTCCCAGATCAGCGAATGCAACGTAGGCACCAACCGGATCTTCCTCCACTGGGTGGGGCACACGTCGTCGCATGTTGTAGTCCAAGTCGGTCACGAGCTTGAAAGGCTGCGTTGGGTCGAAATCTGGGAGTCCTTTAGCTGCGTGGTAGAAGGCGAGGAGGGTAGCGCAGACGACTGCACCACCGAAGGTGACGTTCTCCTCTTTACACTTCATAAGAGCCGTAGTCATAGAACGTGGGTCACCCTCGGCAAAAGATGCTGAAGTCGGGTTCGAGACGGGTGGGACTACGAAGTCGTGCTGATCCGCTCGAGCTGGTAGAACAGGTTGGAACTTCTTCATCTCACTGCGGTAGATCGTCTTCCCAAGCAGCGAAATAACACCCTTCATAACAGCTTCGACAGCGGCTTCTTGGATAGCCACATATCGTAGAAGGAAGGACGCAATGGGAACTCCTGGACTTGATTGTCTTCGGTGGGTAGTGTCTGGGTAGCAAGTAAACTTACCTGCTCAAGGATGTCGTTGAATATTATCATACCCGAATACCCGAGGGTGCGTGTTGAAAGCCCGCATGAGAGCAGTAGGTAGGAACTGAAGCAGCGTGTTTACGTCTCCGGTCACTAGCATTGAATGGACAATTTTCATGGAGACGCTATCGACCAAAGTGGTCAAGCGCTCGAAGCCCCTGAGCCTCACTCGTCCTCCTGGGCTGCAGATCTCAGTATCGTATGCCATGATGAGGCTATTGTCGTTGTGTGCCTTGAGACGAAACTTCGAAAGTGAGGGTTCGCGTGAGCGCGACAAAACCACAGCACTCCATTTCTGTAAGTAGTAATACAAGGAAACGTGCTGTTTGTTTGTTGGTGAAATCATGGGAATTGTCACTGATTACTTTGGGGCAAGATCACGTGGTCTCTCAAGAAGTTGTGCCGCCAGCACGCTCGATTTTCGTGATTGCGGTGGCCTGCCAGACTCTATAACGATCGAGCTGGCCGATTTGGGCAGGATTTAAGGAAGATTGTGGGGGAGTTGTCCGTCAGATCTGTGTGCCACTCGTTGAGTGGTAACACTCATGATTGAATCGAATTTAACTGGTGTTGGTCCAGCAACATAGAGTACGTGAATATTTTCAGTTCGATGTATTGTTTGGCTTCACTTGGGATTTACTCAATGTGAAGTCAAAATCCGAATTGAAAAGCGCATTTTACTCAATAAATGGTTTTGCTTATACACGAATCGTATAATACGATGCACTAAACGTCTCTGAAGAAGAACCACGATAGTGGAGTTTATATATCTTATAGTGAGTTACAGCGCTATATACGAGCGAACGACGCATGTGGTGGCTCTAATATTGTTTGAGATCCACCCCCTTCACCTTGTCCTTGCCTAGTGCGCTCCTCCACGCAGGTTTGGCTTCTCAAGGTTCGACGGAGGTGTAACCTTTTCCGTCGGAGCTGTTGTCTCTGCGAGCTGAATCTGGCCTGCCGGAGCCGGATCAACCAAGTTTCGCAGGTGACGGTCATATTCTGCCTCGTTGTCCTCAGGCATGATCTGTTCTTGGACAGTGTCTTCGCCGTCATCATCCAGAACAAGTTCAGAATCGTCGATCTTGATCAAGATTGTAGGGACCATCGCAGGGTCGCTTTCTTCATGGACTGGGACAAACTCGACTTCGATACCTTCACCGTCGTCGTCCAGGTCGATCTCAACTTCCACCGCCGCAGCAGGGATAAGTGCCATTGCGTCTTCATCCTCGTCGGGGAAAGTGTAGAGCTCGACATCATCGTAGTTTGGATCGGAACCACGGAGAAATTTCGTCGTATCTTCGGAGCTTCCAGATCCGAAATCGCTCACATCGAGCTCTTGAGCTGCAACTGAGGTAGTCGTAGTCGCCATGAGCGCAGCACTCACAAGGAGGTGGTGCAGAAGTTTCATGGCGCTCGAAGGCTGAGGGGATATATAGGCGTGTTCTTGGTGCTTGGCTTGTTTTGTTGTGAGCTGGCTGTGGGCACTCTGCTTGGTGCTCCAACAACGGAGGCAGTCTCCAACGGTAAACGGAATAAAAAAAAACTCGTCGTCGGTTCTGGGCTGAAGCTTCTCGGACAAGAATAAGGTTGTACGGTAGTACTTCACTAGTAGTTTTAAAGAAGTCATCATCTTCAGTAGTTTTATAGAAGAAGAAGTGTAATGCCAAACGTTATTAGCGCTATCGTGCGGCCAGACGGGCACCGAAGACTCGCCTCTTCTCGGACATCATTGACGAGATGCCGTCCCTGGAACGAGAATGGAGAAGGATATGGTGCATCATGTGCACAATTTGCATAACCAAACTCTGGCTACAACGCAATGCGGTGGTCCACAAGGACCGGGAACTTTCGGTGGAAAGCGCCACCAATGCCCTAAGGACGTCGCTGATACGACATTTGAACGCCCTCGCCAAGAGTGAAAGGCGTCATCTACATACTAAATTCCGAGGAACGTGTCTGCTACTCTGCATACTGTAGAGCGCCTCACCCGACCTCCACGAGAGTAA